CTACTTTAAAGAGTGCCAACAACACAACTTATCCGATCTCAGTCAGACAGATAAAAAGTGTGTCACAACGCACTAACATTTGAATCAGGCCAGCACATCACCACAGGGAGAAATCTGAAAGAGTTTATCAGTAGAAGTTAATTTTATCTCTTTCATTCATTGCAAAATAACCTTAGGTCCTGGTTTCACATACAGGGCTTAGATTAAGCCAGGATTAGGCCTTAGTTCAATTAGGGCATAGCTTTCTAGTAAGTTTCATAAAGTGCCTTAGACAAAAACATTACTAGTGTGCATCTTGAGGCAAAACAATGGCACGGACATGTTTTAGGATATGCCAGAGCAAGTAGTCTGGACTCTTAAACCACATCTAAGGGGCTTATAAACTGAAAAGCCATTAAACGCTTGCAAAATGAGTACAGCCACAGCGAGTAGGTATCATTTGAGGTTCATCAGCATTCAGCTCATCTACACTGTGTACACTGAGGCTCTAGTCTAGTTCACACTCCACTCTCCAGCCACCCTCCCCCACACTCACAGCGATAGGACCAGCTTTGATTTCCCACCACCACAATGGCAGCTTTCAGCCACGCTTTTCAAATCGAACAAAAGGAGAAACTCCACGCACTCAGAAGCCCACTGTAGCCTTAAAGTTACCACCAAACTGATGACATCCTCAACTTTAACATGCAAAGAAAACTTACAAATGCACAACTGTTGTGGAATCTATTAAAAAATGCTGATTGAGCAAGTGTGCTTCATATAAAGTGACTGAGCTTACTTGCAAGTGACTAAGCAACAAAATTAAGCTTAAAGCTGAAAATTTAATCCCTGTCTAAATTGCTTCTAGGCTCTGTCATTATCATGGAAACTTTATTTGAACTTGCACATGCCAAACTGCAACCATGATGCGGGCTGGCATAAAGGGGTGCAGAGAAACCCCTCTTGAGGGACTAAACAGTCTCACACTCCAAACAGCATGCTGAAAAAGGAAAAGTGAAACCCAGAATAAGGGGAAGCCCATGGTCCATAGTTCCTTCAGCCAGAAACAAGGCGTACATTCATTAGGACGGTTAATCTCTCTCCTGAACACAAAGACCAACTTGATGCCACCAGTCATGTTAAAGTGGACTGTGCGAGACGAGTAACAACTAAAATGGCCCAGAGAAGTTATTAAACATTTAATGATGAATGATGACTATAAACAACATTTAAACAACAGGGAGGGACAGATGTTTCTGTCTGACACATCACCTATCATTGGAATGCAGGCAAACTAGAAGCGTTTATTCAAAAGAAAGTGATATTGTTTAGAGTTGACTCTCGCAAAGCTCAGATTTGTTTTGTTATCAACTTAACTCAACTCTGTCTCAGATGCTTGTCCTTAAAATTCTAAGAAATGAAGGTAGACTCAAATGATACAAGTGTTGACATACAGTAAGACCAAAGGACCAATAAAAAAACTAAAGTGGATATCAAAAGACCATATCATTTGGTTTAAGGACAACTTGATCCAAAGTGCTTTCATTTAGGATTTTAAAATAATGTGTTGAAATGCTGAGATCTCTTGTCTAGGATATACAAATAAATAAAATATAATGGATGCAAGCACTTTGCTTTTACACAAAGACAACTGACTATAAATTGAACATGAGCTAGTAAAGTATAAGTGTAACATATTCCTGTTATAAGGCCATTAATGAATTATTCATTATAAGTTAGTCTAGTTCAACTTAATTTACACATCAGCATCTTACAAGAACCTAATTTGTAGGCAGACATAGACTCAAACTTTAGCTATTCTTCCATCACCTTGAGTCAATCAAATTCCCCTTCGCCTCCAAACAGAAAAAGTCTATTTCAACTGAGATGTCAAATCACTTACAGTTGTAAACCGACCTGACCTACATACAGATCTCATATTACAGTTCATAACCAGTGCATTAAACATCCTCACAAAGAGAGCTCCCTAAAAAAAACTAAAGTGGAAAAAACAGGGACTTAATTTGCGCAGGCGGATGAAACTGGCTTTTTAATAAACCTGAACAAAAATAACTCCAGCAAATCATTTTGAGGACTGTGAAGAATACTTGCTAGGTTACTTCATCTTGGTTGATAATAGCTCTTCCCAGAAGGATCAAATTATTTAATTATTATAAACTGAAAGCGAAAGACAATGAGTGCAATAAACAACCCTTGACAGCGTTTCATGTTTCATAGAAGTAAACTGTGAGAAGAAATTAATTAGACAACATACAAAGTAGAAAACTGAAATATGATAGGACGTTACTCCGTTCACTATTACTGTAGTAAGTTAAGTTAGTAGCCTAATACACAAACTACTGACAGAAACTCTATTATACATGAGACACAATTACTTTAAAACTCCCTGTGATATTAAAACACTTGAAAAGAAATCTAATGTACCAACTCGTGACCACTTTCTATTTAGACTTTTCATTTCAGTCGTAAGTTCAAATTCAGTTTGAGGTGTAAAGAACTATTCAGTATGAGGTACAAAACATTTATTAGTTCAAATGTCAAGCTCTGGAAGCATACTCACGTAGCCTATAGTGTCGGGATGAGAAAATGAGAAAAGTAGGCTACAATAGATGTCAGCTGCGCGTCTCCTCCAGCGTTTATGAGTCTAGTGCGAGTGAGCAGGCTGGAGTTGAGAAGAAGGAAAGCTGCTCACAGTCTCCCCCGTGTGGGTGTTATTGACGTTACTACAGTGCTACTCAAGCAGCGAGATGTTGTCCACATGGGGGCCTCAGTGAAATGTCTGCTAAGAAAGAAATGCCCAAAACATCTTTAAAAATATAATCACGTTACGTTTAAAGTGCAAATTGTATGTTGGACACTGAACATTGAACGTTTTTTTTATCAATATTTTTACTCCGTGTGTTGTTATTGTGATGTCCTCCTGAACTTTATTGAACTTTATATTGAAATATAAATTGTAACTATAGGCTATATATTGAAAACAACTTTGTGTGTTTGTTCAGATACAAAAAGTAACTGTTACTTACCTTGAAGTCGTCAATGAGAAAGCTGCTGAAATGGAGGACACAAACTATATTGCACCTAGAAGCATAAATGACAGCATGTGGGGGAAGGAAAGGAAAGTGAAAACCCCAACCAGGGAAAATCCAGACCACTTGAGCTAGCTGCAAGCAGAAGGCCACATAATAAATCTTGCCTCATTCAAAGGAGTCATTAACAGTGAATACTGAAAGTAAATGCATTCACTTTGAGTAATGCCACCTGCTAAAATGCAAGTAGGCTTTACCCCGAAAGAATGGTGAAAAAAGTGAAATCTTTTTTGTACATTGTAACATGTGAGGGGCACATTGTAACATCACCATATGACAGCTTAAAATGCTATCTGATCTAATAAAAAAAAAAAAAAAAACAAGTCAAACTAAAATATGTTCTTAATAAAATACAATTATTAACTTTTTAATATAAAATAATTGCATTTTTTAGAAACTAATAAACTAATTTTTGAGTTTGACAACAAACACACCGGAAAACACATCAGCATAGCAAAACAAAATAACAATTAATCATTTCTTCAAATGATTCAAATCATTTTTACACGTTTCTCATGTTTTCTCAATAGAATTCATAAAAGTATATAATATAATAGCATATTTCTAATAGGCGCATATTGTAAGGCAGTGTTACAACATGCCCCAACTGGGTATGGCATCTGATGCACAGAAGCCAATGGCATATGTCTATGTCTCTTCACTGGCATGTGCCAGTGGATAGTGCATGTGTCACTAAAATTATCGCAACACACTGACAGGACACCTGACTGACACCATGTCACCGTGTGTTGTGACACCTCCAGAGTCCAGTAGTGACTGGCAGATTAATCAAGCACTTATCCTGACAAAATTGTGAAACAAAATATCCTAAATAAATGGCCTAATTTTGTGATATTTTAAATAGCAATTAAGCTAGCAATCTTCTTTATTTATACAAGTGAAAAAAAGTGCTCAATGCATTTTAAATATTCAACAAACCTCTGTACCTTTAATATTTCAAAAATAATTTTATGCAATTATTTAATAAATAAAATCCATTTTTGTTGTACAAATTAATGTGCATATGTTACATAATCTTCATTATATAGCAGACATCTGCAGGTGCAGTCATATGATTTATTACATTGCTGAGTTAACGTGTACAACATTAGCTATTACTGTGTATATAATTCGATACAATTATTTTTGGAATAAATCCACGGATGAGAATATTGCACAGGCCAGTGTTATACTCTCTCACACTGACACCTAGGGGAGTGCGGGCTAGCTGTAATACACTTGTTTTAAATACTTCCAGCATGACGAAACTTGGTGTAGCTTTTTACTAGTTGTTATTTCAACACTATACAGAGAAAAAAATTGTGCCAAAATTCAGAAATCTTTGTAAGATATCACTGAAAATGTATTTAACCATAGCAAAAGTACATTTCAAACTTAATGTTAATATTGCTACTGGAATGATGTAAAGCTGCTAAATCTTAAGTTACCACCAATTGTCAATAAGAAAGTAAAAGTAGAAATGTCATCTGCTGAAAGGGGGATAAATGGGGAAGTCCAGAGTTATTGAACCAAACCAACACCTAGGCTTCCTAAAACTGCTCCTCACTCAAAGTCATTATAACACTAAATATTGAAGAGAAAGTAGCATTCACTTTGATGGTTGACTATTTTCAGTATGGTCCTCTTATGAAAATCAACATTAAATATGCTTATAAATTTTTCATGAACAAGGCTTTGCAGGACCGCACTTCCGTCAAGCCAGTGGACATATATCCTACCACATGTTCAGCAAAAAGTCAGTGGCAATTTGCTTTTATGGTATGTGATAATACATACTAGACCTCACACGATTTTAAAACTTTCAAACTGCATCTGATCGAAGCTTTCAACACCTTTATATGGAACTGAATCAATGCTCATGTGGATAGAAATCAGACCAGGATTCAAGAATACTTTGCATTTGAAAAACTTTACAGATTTATTAATTAAGCACATTCACTGTACAAAAAGTGTACTGTCAAACCAAACCTGTATATAAGAAACTTAAGCAAAGATTGTAAAACTGACAGTAATCATCTTTGTCCATAACAAAAACAAAATACAAAAAAGTTGCACATTTAGGAGACGTTTAAGAAGTGTTACACATTCCTTAATCATTCAAATATTTACAGAGCAAAAAGTGACCTAAATCTACTGTATAATCATTAACTGTGCTTTGACTTGACAATCAAATCATGGTCCATTGTCTTGCTAGTTAACAGAGTATTACTAAAAAGTTCATTAAAAGAGAAATGCACAGTATAAATAAACAAACAGCAGTTTAGTTCTGAAGTAATGCAGTTAATATCAAATTATGAAATGGGCAACAAACCAACTCTTAACAAATACCTAAAATACTATCTAACTTGCTATCTCCAAAGCATATATATAGCCTTTTTATATAGCCTATATATATAATCCTTTGATTTCCCTTTGGAACAAAGCCATTTGTATTTTACTAGAAGCAGCATCTGAGATTTATGGAAGGGTAACGTGACTGTTCACTGTTCATCTCAAACGACAGTTCATTGATGGAAGCATACTAGGAATGACACCTGCTATATCTAATTATAGAATAATCATTTATACTATTATTAATCGCAATTCAATTTTGCCGATGTTGGCCCAGACGTTGGTGGTGTGATAAAAGAGCTGCAACATTCTCAATTATTATGGCTACATAGTGACTATAAGAGGTGAATAAATAGAATATAATTTCAACATGCTAACATTTTTTTTTTAAATAAACACTTTATGTGGAAGTTGAACACAAGTTTTAATCACTGATTATATATTTTATATTTATAAAAGTGCTACATTTTAAAGCTACTGCTGATCTGCATTGTTGACTTCATGCAAGGATCACTAAAGGCATAAAGTATAGCTTACTAAATGCAATTCTAAAATGTACTATTGTTGTGCATAATGATAGTTTTTAAAAAGAGTTAAACAACAAAAAGTAAATTCTCTGAAGTTAGTTGTCAATGATGAGACACACAGGAACCATCATATGAATTCAGACTTGAATACTCCTTTTTTTTAGTCCACAGATGATAGATAATCATACGTTTTGGAACAAAATGAGAGTAGAGAGTGCAATTCAATTTTCGGGTGAACTGTCCCTTTATTCCATACATTTGTGAAACTTAAACCATGAGTAACATACGAGTCCGAACATGAGAAAAAAAATATTTTCTGTAATTTCTCAATATGTAATAAAAGAGTTGTGCTAAATTAGTTAATAAATGACACTATTTACTTTAGTACCTGTTGTGCAAATGTCTTTATGTGTCTAATGTCATTATGTATATGTAAAGCAGAAAAAGTAACAAACTAATCATGCCTGAATTACCAGGGGTGGAATTTCTTAGTTTGAAGCCACAAATAGCAGGATTCGTCAAATACAGTAATAAATACAACTGCAAAGTTAATAAGGTATTTCTAATATACAAACTTTAATTACAATTTAATACTACATCTGTTATTTTTTACCATATGACAAAATGTACTGTTGGGAGTCATAATTCAAAAGGAATCTATTTGCAAAGGCTTTTCTTTGTAATGTTTATCACTTTGGAATTTTAAATCTTTGGAGTTTTATGGAGGTAATTTGAAAAGTAAATTAATTAGAAATGTTAGTAACCACATGTAAATGTAACAATTCAAGTTCTTCAGTACATTCAAATTTTAATGTAGGCCTATTTTAATTTTGCATGTATGCTATTCCTTATTTTACCCTTTGTCTTTCGTTATTGGAGGTTGTACTGTGGTGTTGTTGTATGCATTCATAGCATAGAATAACACACCACACAAATTAATTTCATTAAACTCTTACATAATATGACCTGAATTGAGGTCACCTTGCCAAAACAATGTGAACATTTGGGAGACTAAATTCCCTGACACACACACACACACACACACACACACGGTATGTGCCATACATCAACCCTCCATACAATACTCCCCGAAAAGTTTTAACAAACATACTGTCAGATTATTATAGCCACTCTAGTTAACTTAATGTAACAAAAGTCAAGATCTAAGGCCCTCTGGATCTAATGAGATTAATAACCCTGATACTGTGCTTACATAAAACGGAAATTTCACACAAACAGGGGTTGATTTTCAGTCAAGTATAAATTCATTTGGTCCAGGCAACAGTGCTATTCAAACCCACCCATATAACACAAGATTTTGTCAGATTGGTAACAACATGGTAGCTGGCCTCCCTCACATCTTTTTGGAGCGCCGGCCAAGGTGATGATAGTAACTCAAGGTGATGGAGAGGAAGATGGCTTCACTAACAAGAAGAATGATTGCACCGTTGCACATTGTGCCCATCTCCAAGAGAGTGATGGATATCACTGGGGAAAAAATGTGTATAGAGACTAATTGGCAAAGTCAGACAAAGACGTAGTCTTCTATAGACATCTGGAAAAAGGGTGCCAAGCAGAATTCACAACCCTATTTAACTAAATAAAAACATGTGCCGAGACAATGATACACTGCCCTCTTATGGAAATACATGCTACTGATAAAAACAATGCCATAAAGGGTAGAATTGAATGGACTAAAAAAAATCAATCCAAAATCTGAATCTACCACAAGATGATTGAACTAGTAGATGAATATACCACAGGCTATATGTCACAAACATTGGAATCAGTGATGGAAAGCATTTTATGTAAACTTTTGTCATTTTTGTTTTGTTTTTAAAGAATTTATAATACTACTCCAGAATATTTTTTTTATTTTTTTGGCAACAAATATAGGGAAGGCAAAAAGTTATTACAGTCAGACTTAATTACAGCTTCAAGACAAAAAAATAGCCAAAAAAGCATCACCTTCAACCCATTGTTTTTTTTTATTATTATGTGACAGTCTTAAATAGGTGTGATCAATCACCTCAACTTAATATTTAGCACAAAATAAAATAAGGAGTTTATTGGTTCATTTGAACCCTATGCTTGGATTGGATTTTTAAGAGAGCTGGTTGCCATAAGAGGGCAGTACAGCCTTAAGAACTAAGAGTATTCCAGACCTTCTCTGTTAACCAGGACTCAACAATAAGAATGGCCTAGTATTTCAAGCCAGATTTGATCAAGTTCTGGCTTGGAAGCATCTGGAGAATGGGTTACAATTATGAACCAATCTGTAATGCTTTGCATTGTTCTCCAGTAAGTGTTTATAAATGTATAGCTTATGTAGCCACAGCTTATAAGCTTATGTAGCCATAGCTTATGCTGTTTAATTTAATATTATTGATGCTAAATGAAAGTCAGTAAATATAATATTAATACAAATAAATAAAACATATCATATTAAGTTAATATTAAGAAATATTGTTTTCCTGGCACACATGAAAAAAATAAATGTATTAAATAAAATGTACCATGTACAAAATCTCATCATTGAGCCTTGCTAATCATTATGAAGTGGCCTACATGCATTTTTCTGCACCCTTAGCACTGTCGTCAGTAAAAGAAAATCCCTCTCTCACCTAGAAATTGTACCCCGAAGTAACACGCTTCTGTAAGTAGCGTCCATTGAATGATGACCTTTTCTGCTGTGTACAAGCCATTCCACAGGATTAATGAGATACCTGTTGGGAAGAGGAAACGCAAAGAGTCAGTTCATCCTAAGTCAGGTAGAAACAATAAAAAGGGCCCATCAATCTCCTCTAAAACTCAAGCACTTGTGCTCGGAATTAAAAAGCTGGAAATCTGGCCCAAGATCAGAGGACCGATGCTGGTGTGGGTTCTGATTCTGTTCAGGGAAAAGCACAGATAGTCCTCCTGATCTCCTCCCACACTGCGTATATGGATGACAAGGAGGGTAGCTGTTTCTTCAACCCTGCCAAGTGCCATCTGCCAGCACTATTTTTCCAGCCTTGCTTTAGTAATTCCCACCACTCAACTGGCCATTGATCTGACAGAAGAACACTCACACCTTGCAGCGCCACAGGGGTATGAATTGTTGGTGAGCTAAACCAGCTGTCACACTGTATAAAGACCACTGGCGCTCAATGAGGGGTCTGACTGCAAAAAATTGCTTACTAACATCATGCATGCATACAGCAAAGCCTTCAGGGCTCTGCTGCAGCATCCTATTTATGAGCATTCATAGATAGGTAATGTATGCAATAATTACATTAGCATAATATTTTATCACCCACTGGTTAGGGCTGGAATCTAAACAAATTGGGGAGGGAAAATTCTTTATGCTGAAATAGAGGCGGCATTATGTTATTATGGAGAAAAGACAAATAGGCTGCTGTTCATAATGAAATAAGGGCATAGGGAGGGAAGGGATTTTATTTCCACAAAACGCAATCTCTTATAATACAGGACCTCCTACGGCTGCCTGTAAGCTCAAGCACGGGGTGTGCCTGGCATGTGCTGTTGTTGTGAAGCGTCCTGGGACCAGCAGGGGGTCATTACTAGTTCTAGTGCAATATCTACCCAGCACTCTGAAAGCCCTGCCCTATATGTGGCTAAATGGTATTGTATGGACTCATCCATTTTTAAAACCGAGGCGTAAAATATTCATATCTCGTGAAATCATACTAATCTGGCAGTGAACAACTCATCTAGTCATGAATATTTCCTGTGAGTGGGAGACAGACTTGCACAAATGTGTTTACATTATGCATTTGCTATGAGTAAATTGAGAGTGGAAAAAGTGTAAAGAAGTGCACATATGCTATATTGACAATATTATGTGGATAGACGCACATTTAAATATCCTAACCGGTCCGATGCTTATATATACATTTTATTTTCATGATATCCACAATGCTTTTACAGCCCTTGTGGAACTTATAGTATTTGTCTACATTTGTTTTTAGTTTTACAATTCATTTCTTCTCATTAGAGACTTATAGTCTATAATGAGGAGATAATCTTTACCCTTATCCAATTATACCTGAACATATATGCAGATTTATATAACTACAGTTGTATTGCATACATATAATGAAAATGACCCTGACACTTGCGTAAAATGCAGTGAGTTTAAAGGTACACTATATCATTGCTACATTGCATATGGAGTGTGAAGAAGTATTTCTGGAAAGGTGTGAAAAAAAATGATAACATCCTGCTGTCGCATTTTTCTTTTATTTATATCCTAAGGTGTTCAACTTAAAAAAGAGAGTATATATTTATAAATTGATGTATTCTTCAAGCCATACAGCTTATTTCTTTACATTGGAAAAGTATTTGAGCACCAAATATAGTACGTTGGCTAAAAGAGATGGTAACAAATATGTCAATGGAAAGGATAACTTATATTTTAAAGGATAAATATACAGTTTTTAATAGAGTTTGGGGACCGTTCTGATTGTTCTTAAAACGTGTTGGAGTTGGAAAGTAGTTAATAGAAGACTAAGAAAAAAGATGGTACTGAATATCAATTTAAAATTCTACTAAGCATTTTTTGTTTATTTGTCTGTTTCTCTATTTTACTTGGAAATGTACAGTCACCTAAAGGATTAGAAGGAACACCTGTTCAATTTCTCATTAAATGCAATTATCTAATCAACCAATCACATGGCAGTTGCTTCAATGCATTTAGGGGTGTGGTCCTGGTCAAGACAATCTCAACAAACTGAATGTCAGAATGGTTAAGAAAGGTGATTTTAGCCATTTTGAGTGTGACATGGCTGTTGGTGCCAGACGGGCCGGTCTGAGTATTTCACAATCTGCTCAGTTACTGGGATTTTCACGCACAACCATTTCTAGGGTTTACAAAGAATGGTGTGAAAAGGGAAAAACATCCAGTATTCAGCAGTCCTGTCGGCGAAAATACCTTGTTGATGCTAGAGGTCAAAGGAGAACGGGCCGACTGATTTAAGCTGATAATTGAGCAACTTTGCCTGAAATAACCACTCGTTACAACCGAGGTATGCAGCAAAGCATTTGTGAAGCCACAACACGCACAACCTTGAGGCGGATGGACTACAACAGCAGAAGACCCCACCGGGTACCACTCATCTCCACTACAAATAGGAAAAAGAGGCTACAATTGGCAAGAGCTCACCAAAATTGGACAGTTGAAGACTGGAAAAAAGTTGCCTGGTCTCAATTTCTGTTAAGGCATTCAGATGGTAGAGTCAGAATTTGGCGTAAACAGAATGAGAACATGGATCCATCATGCCTTGTTACCACTGTGCAGGCTGGTGGTGGTGGTGTAATGGTGTTGGGGATGTTTTCTCGGCACAGTTTAGCCCCTTTAGTGCCAATTGGGCATCGTTTAAATGCCACGGCCTACCTGAGCATTGTTTCTGACCATGTCCATCCCTTTATGGCCACCATGTACCCATCCTCTGATGGCTACTTGCAGCAGAATAATGCCCCATGTCACAAAGCTTGAATCATTTCAAATTGGTTTCTTGAACATGTCAATGAGTTCACTGTACTAAAATGGTCCCCACAGTCACCAGATCTCAACCCAGTAGAGCATCTTTGGGATGTGGTGGAACGGGAGCTTCGTACCCTGGATGTGCCTCCCACAAATCTCCATCAACTGCAAGATGCATTCCTATCAATATGGGCCAACATTTCTAAAGAATGCTTTCAGCACCTTGTTGAATCAATGCCACGTAGAATTAAGGCATTTCTGATGGCGAAAGGGGGTCAAACACAGTATTAGTATGGTGTTCCTAATAATCCTTTAGGTGAGTGTATATGTACATGTGTATAGTTCAAATGTAATTTAAAAAAACCTGAACATACACAGAAGGGCTCCGCCGAAGAGCCTGATGGAGATCCTGGTGGTAGTGAGCTCAAATATTATCTCATAGAGCTGGTTGGGGAAAGCCAGGGCCTAAAACACAGAGACCGTGGTCACATCCCTTCAAGATGACAGCGAAATGAGAAATGTCAATTATAAATAAAAAAATTAATTGCAACATTATTTGTAACGTTATAAATGTCTTTACGGTCACATTTGATCAACTTAATGCATTCTTGCTGAATAAAAGTATTAATTTCTTTTAAAAGAAAATCTATTGTACAGTAGCGTAAATAATTACACAAAACCTAATGAGCATTACTTTAATTTGGAGCATGAACTATTTTGCAGTATCTGCTCACCATTAAGGACGTCGATGTAAACAGCACTGCAGAGATGAGGAGCCAAAACCTGCAAAGAACATTGGAGAAATTAAATTATTATGGTGTCTGATGTCACACGTAAAGACAGAGACAATCTTAAAGTCAGTGGTCTAATGTGAAGAGACTGAACAAGTTTAAAGTCTTACCGGAGACCAATGGGCTCACGAACCGCAAACTTCATCTCATTACCCAACATCTGACTGATCTGCAAAATGAGAATTTATCAATTTATCAGGCATCATGTAAGATGTAGTCAGTTTACTAACTTCTTTTTAGAAATGTAATCAATACGACACATTAAAGGAATAGTTCACTTTAAAAAGAACTTTTGTTGATAATTTACTAACCCCCATGTCATCCAAGATGTCCACATCTTTCTTTCTTCAGTCTTAAAGAAATTAAGGTTTTTGATGAAAACATTCCAGGATTTTCTCCATACAATGGACTTCAGTGGGAACCAAACGGTTCAAGGTCCAAATGAGAGTTTCAGTGCAGCTTCAAAGGGCTTTAAACGACACCAGATGATGAATAAGGGTCTTATCTTGGACCCTTCGAGTCATGACTGGAAAAAAGATTTGTTCATTTTGATGAACGAGTTTGAACAGGAGAGTCACGAACGCTTATCACAGAACAGAGCAAGGCGAGCATTTGTGCTTATAAAACTTGAGCGATAAGATAATAAGATTCATCGTCTGGAATCGTTTAAAGCCATTTGAAGCTCCACTGATACTCTCATTTGGACCTTGAACCGTTTGGTTCCCATTGAAGTCCATTATATGGAGAAAATCCTGGAATGTTTTCATCCAGGATAATTTCTTTTCGACAGAAGAAAGAAAGACATGGACATCTTGGATGACATGGGGGTGAGTATATTATCAGCTAAAGTTTTTTTAAAAAGTGAAATACTCCTTTAATATACTATTCTTTCATATACTATACTACTATAATATACTAAGTAGAGCAAGGTGACTAAAACTAAACTAATAACTAAAATACAGGCAGATGGAAGGAAAATGTCAAAAGAAAGTGGGCTCTCCAGATTTGCTGATAACAGAAGCCTGCTAAGACTGAATGGTCCATGCAGAGGGACACAGATTTATTTTATAAACATGGAAACTTGGTGTAGCATCTGGAGGGACTGATAGGAAAGTTTGAGTTTTGTTTTGATTTAATATGTGTATTTTGACAGCAGGCTAGGTGGTTTCTCAATGATGGCTTTGTGTTCGTAATCCAGGCTGTGGGCCACAGGGGAGCACAGCTCCTTCAGTCAGAATCAGACAAATACAGATAAGGATGTGGAAGGTGGTAAAATATAATGCTTTGTTTGGGTAGCCTAACTCTTATCACTCTATAAGTGACAAGGGATTTTGTAGGAGAATACGGTTTAAAAAAAGAGTGCAAAAGCTCAAAAGGAACCAGCTCAAAATGATGCTCACCAAGGCTGCATTTATTTGATTAAAAATACAAAACAAACAGTAATATTGTGAAATATTATTACAATTTAAAATAACTGTTTTCTATTTTAAAGTATTTTAAAAAGTGATTTACTCTGTGGAAATGGCAAAGCTGAATTTCCAGCATCATAACTCCAGTCTTCAGTGTCAATATTATTTTAATATTCTTATTTAGTGCTTAAGGCATATTTCTTATTACGATCAATGTTGAAAAAAGTTGTGCTGCTTAATATGCTTGGGGAAAACATGGTAACATTTTTTTCAGAATTTTTTTTTTAATAAAAAGTTTAAGAACAGCATTTGAAATTGAAATCTTTAGTAGCATCATAAAATGTTACTTTACTGTCACTTTTGATCAGATCAATGCATCCTTACTGAATAAAATAACTAATTTAATATATAAAAAAATCTTTCTGACCCAAACAGCATTATGTGGGCAAAAGGAAACGGATGATAAAACCTGAAAGCACACTGGAAACCTTTTTGTAACTATACATAATTTTGTATTTAAATTCATAGCTAATATAGATGTTATCAACAGCATCAAAAGCTTGTCAGATCCAGCCATGCTAACCATGGGTGCAGGCTGATCGAAGGGTCTAATGTGCAATAGGAAATTAGTAGGCTAATTTTACAGTAGCAATTACCATTTGCTTATCTTTGAAACACATAAACAGGCATTTCCCTTACTTTGATGTGCTCTATAAGAAATTAGCACAATTATTGTTACCACGCTCCTTTCCATTTCCATCTCAAAATGATGTCTGTGGCTTTCAGGCCTAAAAAAAAAAAAAAAAAAAACATCCGAATGGCCATTAAACATGCAAGCTCTCTCTTTCTTCTCCCCCCCTAAAAGAGAGGGATCTATCCATCTCCCTCTCCGCCATTCTGCACTAAAAGCCTCTGAAGTGTGGGTAATTTAGTGTTGATGAAAACCTGATCCGTTTCTGATGAGAAGCTGAACTCTTGGCCAAAGGTCATTTCATAGGGGGGGAAGCAAGAATGTGATCGAGGAAGGTGAGCGGGACTGATAGAAAGTGACTGCTGTGGCCTGCAGAATGTGGCTATATAGACTAAATAGTAATAATGGCTTACTCCCGTTTCACACATACTCCGTTTGCAGTCCGTATGTGGTGAGTATTTTTTTCAGTACCCATGTTAACAGGTTAGAGTTTTCACACGGATGCAGTCCGTCGATATGTTCCAGTTGCGGTGCGTATACAGCAGTGCAGAGATCGTTTCTATTCTACACCTCTGTGCTGCAAACGCAGAAATAAAGAGACAGCGCATGGTTCGTGGTCAAAATGAACACAGATTGACCTGGAAATGTAGTAGTTTCAGCATAAATATTTTTATTTAATAAAATGTAGTAATCTCACCATAAATGCATTTAATTAAATACTACTTATCATCTTAAGACCGGGGTTTTACGGAAGGAAAACTACAATTTACCTCAACAAGGACATAATGAACGACACTCGTCTCATTTGTGGAGGTAGAAAAACAAGTTCTTAGTGACATGCAAGATTTATTGTATTAAAATTTAAATGCAAAAGAAAAGGCACGAGAATCAGATTTTTTTGTCCATTTTAATTTTTAATTTAAAATGTTTGCGATTTTAATATATTTGATAGTATTTAATATAATTAAATTGTGTTTAAATGTGCATGCGTCCATTCATGTTTGTAAAAGTGTACAAAGAGTATCGCAATGCTGACAAAACTTTTATTTTAATAACAGTTGCTGCATAACTTCTGAATTTGAAATAAAAATAGTGAGTAGGCCATGTGTTTGTGGTACAGCCGCGGATCAGTTACGCACTGCAAACGCAGCATATGTGAAAGCACTTTAGCTCGTGCTGCTCCTGTACCGGATACGCACCGCAACACTCACCGCATACGGACTGCACACGGTGTATGTGTGAAACGGGCGTTAGAGTAAAACTGATGACACAGACAAGCTGACACCAGCTCTTTTTGTTTTGTTAAGGTTCCATTCATTGTAATATACCATGAACATTTATTGAAATTCATTCAAATGAAATTGCCAAAAATTGTATACTACGAACAAATGCTGCCGTATTTAGAAAACAGCTAGTATGGCAGGTCATTGAATCCTCTCAGGAGAAAAGTGTTCCCAGAGATATGGTTTTCAGAAAGCATGTCACACTGAGAAACAAGAGCATGTCATGTTCTATGGAGACCACCACTCAATCGACACCTCGCACTAGTTGTGTCTGAGGGGATTAACACATCTCAATAACTGCTGGGAATAGGGAGTACTCTGTTTTCTCATAAGACCTGTAATGGCAGATGATACAGCAGTATGGGTGTAATGGATCGTATTGATCCAGACCTGGCCACACTGTTTGCCATGCATCTGAAATGTATTAACTGTAAATTAAAGTTGATCATTTTCACATTTTAAGTCATTGCAATTTAAACATTCAAGGGATTTTAAACAGGTCAAGTGTTAGTCCAGTTGTTTGATGAAAATGAAATGAAATGTAAATGAAGAATCCGTACAACTGTAGTAGCGGATGACTATTATTCTGTTGCAAAGAACTGATGATGGCACGTTTTGATGCTTAGTTGACCAATCAGTGGTAAGGAGCATCTCATTCCGGTTCACATGTAGAGAGAGAATTTTTAAGCTCTACATTTTCTACCCCTGAACGTAAAATAAAAAAAAAAGCCATATTCTTGTTTTGTTTTTATGTAAAAAAAAAGTTGATGCATTGACCCATTTTCTCACAACATTAAACACAAAGCCAAATCTTCAAACTACCGTCACAAAACCCCTGACTCTTCTGGCAAAATCAAACAAAGCTTTCACATCAAACACACACCAGTCAATTTATAAACACTCCAGATCATTCATTAGACACTACACAAGAAAAATGGTGAACACAGAATGTATTTGTTTTAGGCCATTGAGAATTTGGACAGAGTTTTGTTTTAGCAATTCTGAAAAGCTGTATAACAAAAAACGAATGATCGGAAGATAGATACCGATTGTCTCTTCCAGATAGATCCGATCCATGACTCAAAAACCGTAATATGATCTGACCCAGGAGTGTTGTGATCCATTGCACCCCTTCTGCACAGTATGTTTATTTGACCAAAGGATCGCAGCAACTGCTTATTTAAGTGACAAACCAATGGATAAATTAAACAGAGTACTTTGAATACATCACGCCCCATATTAGGTATGCTAAACAGAAAATCATGATCATGAGTGTGCACTGTGCAAGTCTTCAAATAGTAATTTGTACCACAAATGAATTTAAGTTGCTCAGAAAAATTTTGCACCCAAAACATCTACTTTGACTGGTGAAACTGCTGATTTATTAATACATCTCTTGAAAGCTCATGTGGAGCTGGATTCATGAATACATCTCCAGCCATTATGGTGCTAGCTGAGCTATCTCTGTTGAAACAGAGGGTGATGGGCGACTGCCCCTTAATGGATGTTCTCTTAGATCTTTCTCTGTGACTCTACCCAAGGATTGATGCACATTGCAGGGGTGGAAAGGGCAGCTGTGTCTGAGTGCCACCGATGTTTCATGTGGGCTACCTCAAAGTCCCATATGTTTTAATAGTGCTGAGCGTGAGATGGGTAGTGGTGTCAATAAGCTTTCATTGTGGGGTATTCACATTTAGGACGCGGGAGACGTTTTCATTTTGTTTTGCACATTTAATGTTTTCCTTTTTATTTAAAAAAAAAGGGTACGTTTAAATTTTCGTCATGTTAATGCTACATTTTAAAATTTATATATTTTATGAATAGTGTAATTCTGGAGCGAAAAAAAATCTTTTAAATTTTATCTCTGATTTTGCATGAGTTTGTTTTCTCTCAGAAACTCATGGAAGGTTCAGAGAAATGTCCACTCGGAAGATGAGCAAGGTGGGGGAGTATTTTGTAAGCCTACACACGTCATGTCAAACTAGTAACCATTAAGCATGCTTATAGGCTTGTTATACTACTGGTTAAGAGTGACAATAATACGATATGAATTTTTATTGTATTTAAACATTATGAATGAAAATTACTTGGCATCTGGACAGTTGCTATATTAACAACCTAAGGAAGAGAAAACTCGACTAAAAAGTCGATTAGTCAGTTGCAAAATGCACATTCCTTATTCATAGTCGTGCAACATGACTGCACACTGGCATCAGGATGAGTGTGTGGGGACAGTTAGTGTCCTAAAGCAGAGCTGGCGGACTGTGCCACTACTCATCTAATGCACATAAAGTTTGTGGTGTATGTTTGATGTATTCTTACCTCCCATAACGCAAGAGAGCTCTGTACGCAATATATTCCTTTCAACAGAAATATATAAATGATAAACAGCAGCAGCTCAGAAAACATAAAACAGTCAGCTAGAATCCAACAATTCCAAAAACAATATTGATTTCATTTGTTTTATTATTATTTAAATAATACTACTACTATTTTACTTAATATTATACTGTATTCATTATTAATATAATTATTAACAATAACAAAATGTTTTATTATTCAATTAATAAATAACTAAATAATTTAATTTTCTGATTGCTGTTGAATGAAAGAATATATGAATAAGATATATACATACAGTTGTAACTGAAATTATTCAACCACCCTTTCAAATCAGGTTTATTGGTTAAATTTTTCAGACTTTCAGCTGTTTGCAATGAACAAATCAAAAAAAAGTAAACAAAAGTAATTAAAAATAGCTCAACACAACATTTCAAGTGGTTTCCCCAAATTTATCTGAAAATGCTACTTTAAAGGACTTCTGCAGTCTCAAAATGATCTGAGCCAATCTGAGACGAGTCGAGCTGGTACTGTGTAGTGGAAAAGCGCCAACAGTCTGCAAATTCAAAGCTAAAGGAACAGTGGTTACACTACCTGGACAGGGCAGAAAAAGGAAACTATTAATGGCTGCAACCAGATTTCTAAGAAGACAGGTTTAAAAAAAAAAAAAAACTTGAGTGGCTGCAAAATACCTGCTGCAAGACTTGGTGCCAACAGGCACTGAGGTTTCAGCTTGCACAATAAGGCGAGTACTAAGTACATGCGGTTTCCACCGCAGAACTCCAATACATTCACCACTACTGACCTAAAAGCACAAGAAAAGTGCACAGAATCATAAAAATAAGACACAGAAGTTTTGCCATTCTGTTCTGTGGAGCGATGAAACAAAACTTGGAACTTTTCGGTCCTATGGATCAGAGGTATGTCTGGAGGAAGAAGAATGAAGCGTACGCTGAAAAGAAAACTCTGCCTACATTTAAGCATGTGCTAAGCATGCCTGCTTTGCATCCTCTGGCACTGAAACCCTGCAGCGTGTGGAAAGCAAGATGGATTCATTGAAGTATCAGGAGGGGCCATCACAGTCACCTGACTTAAACCCCATAGAAAATCTGGTGGGATTTGAAGGCGGCGGCTGTAGCACGCAAACCCAAGAATATAACTGAACTGGAGGCCATTGCTCATGAGGAATGAGCAAAGATTTCTCAGAAAAGCTGCCAGAAGCTGGTGTCTGGTTATACATCTCATTTGCAACAGGTCTTAACAGAAAAAGGGTGTTCTACTAAGTACTAAAGATGCTTGCCATAAAGGGATTGGATAATTTTGAGGCTGCAGAAGTCATTAAAAGTTGCATTTTCAGTTGAATTTGGGGAAACCACTGGAAATATTTTTTGTGTCGAGCTATTTCAATTACTTTTGTTTGATTTCGTCATTGCAGACAGCTGAAAGTCTGTAAATTTCGAAAATATTGCAATGCCTTGCAATGGGGGTTGAATAATTTTGAACTGCGCATATATATATATATATATATATATATATGGTGCGCTTCCTCTTCCTCGATTTACTGAAGCTTTTATGTAAAACACATTTGCAACTGCACAGCTAGCACATTTAAGCGTCTGGCTCACTCATAGGCACTGCTGCGGCAAGTCCACAATCCAATGGCGCGGGCGCCTCTGGCGTGCGAACATTGAATAATCTCACGATCAAACTCCACTTCCTGAAAGTTATAAACTGCCTCTGGAACTCATTTAAGGTACAAAAATTTATTCAACAAAAATGGTGATGCAGTTGAGTGTTTTTTCGTTCAGCCGAGCCCTCTCTGTTGATGTGTGGAACAACCTGTGTCAGTCACCTCTTCCTGAACGTCACTCACTCACTCACTCACGCACTGCGGCCTCATGAGGAAACACAGCTTTTGATAAAGTTTTTCTTGTTCCTGAATACAAATATTTTAAAGTATTTTTTCAAAATAAGTATTTGTAAAGAACATGTTATTTGTGGCTAATAATAACTTATTAGGGTTTGGCTCCACCCCTACACACACACACACTTCAAGTAGCACTAATAATTTGAAAACCCCTAAAAGCCATATAACTTAGACAACATAAAAAAAGCGGAAAAAAAAGTTTTCTTACATGAATGGCTATTGAGGTCAATTATGAAAAAGACTGACGCAGTCAGGTGGGACGTTACCTTTGATCTGTGCACCTCTCCATCATCATCCTCCCCACCGACACCCAGAACCTTGCGGGACTTGAGGCGACTCACAAGATCAGTCTGACTGTGCTTCTTCATAAGAGGAGGTGGTGTGGATGTCATGGCAGCAGACGAAAGCAGGCACTTCAATGAGCTGTCAGAGGGACTAAGAAAAAACAATAACATCAGCACTTTCTCAGAGTTGTCTGTACCTAGCATTCCAGTTATGGAGGAAAAAAAATGTACAACTACTAATATGTAGGGTTTGTGAAATTTAACAATAGCATGTCATTCTGCTTCACCACTGTGACTATGAATATTCATAGCTATCAGTAAGGTTTTACACAAGCTAAATGAAATAAGACATAAACATTGCATTGTGAGTCTACATGCTCCCACACAGCTGCACTATGCTTACCAAGGCTGCATCAATTTGATCAAAAATACACTGAAACCGCAATATTATGAAATATAATATAGAATAATTGTTATCTGTTTAAGCCTATATTTAAAAATACATTTTATTCCTGTGATGGCAGTAGCTGCATTTATATGAACGGGACCCTAATAATCTGATTGTAATCGGACTACTAGCACAGTCGGAAACATCAATCAGAATGAATTAGCAAAACCTGATTAAAATTTAATCTGGATTGTAAGGGATGGTATAAACCTTTTCTAATCTGATCAAGAGGAGATGTAAACACTTGATTGGATTAAACACTGAAACCGGAAAAGTACTGCGCATGTGCAATGATGTTAAAAATGGCGTAATGATGTATGACACAAGGAACAAGCTTTTGTTGTTGTTGAATGAAGTGTCATAAATGACTACAATGTCAAACTAATATTTTCCTTCCACTCATCGTCTGGGGACCTGTACCAAATGACACTTCATATGCACTTTCGGTCTTGTGGACTTGCAATGGCTGCCGTGCGCGCCTGTCCGTTAAGTCAATGAGACCGTAGGTGTCCTATTTGTTATTTTAGGATTCAAAAGGGTGGTGCCTTTGCAGTCGATATGCGCACTCGATATGCACTTTTGCTAGCCTGACGTCATCATACTCAGATTCTTGTCAGAATATGAGTCCGATACTGCTCCATCGGGCTTTGATTATGGGGCGTGTTTCAACCAAACCAGGAAAGAAAATGCCTCTGCATTCTCTCAATTGGATAGACCTACAACTAATCAGAGTATGTTGAATCCCATAAGAAGGATGGCAAAAAAAATGTTTTGATCATCAAATGCCTTGATAGCGGTTCTCTGCTCCTCTTTTAAAATGAATGCACTGTCGATATCTTCTTTAACAGATGCGATGGCTGAATCTCCACATGTAAATTCTCCAGGGGCAGCCATTCTTTGTTGTAAACTAATTCAACACAAGCGCTCTTTGGTAACGTGGATGATTACATTACTGTTGATCATCTGTCCATCATCATATAAAGCCCAGTTTGACAATTTGATTGGTCCGAACAGCTCTGGTTCGAGCAGAGTTGCATCACAATGGATCAATTCCAGACCGAATTTCCTGACCTCAAATGTGGCTATGCTATGGCCACTGGAAGGGGCATTTTTACTGCTCAATAAATATAAGCAGCATGATACAAAGCTTCATCTGCTCGTAGTCTCCTAATTTGGACCCGAAATAAATAAATATTAAGTCTCTTCAAAACAAAGAAGAAATTTAGGAAAATAGTAGGCGCAAACAGCAAGAAACTGTAGATTTTTACACTGTACTCATGTCAAAAAATAAATAGTGATTTGAAGCTTGTGAAGTTGTGACACATAAACGCGCACATCAACCCAATCACTTTATTTAGCATTCATGTAAACACTACGCTTGGATTCATCGATTGGAATGAAATCATTCCGATTGAAAAAATAAAGTGTCCTTGTAAATGTAGCTTGTCTCGCTTCATTCTGATATGCTGATTTAATGGTCAAGCAACATTTTAAAATAATATCAACAGTTATGCTGCTAATAATTTTTTTATGAAAACTGAGATACATTTTTGGGATTCTTTGATGAATAGAAAGTTCAAAAAGAAAGAACATAATTTATTTGAAATTTATAAATGTCTTTACTGAGCCAATTGAATAGGTCCTGAATAAATAAACTTCACTTATCACAAATTTTAATCACAAACATTTTAATATTCAAAAAATGGCCATAAATATTGGGTTATTTCTAGAAGCAAAAAATACAAAAATGGTGCACCATTTTTTAGAAGCAAACACAAAAGGAGACCGCAATGACCTTGTGACAAGACTGCATGAATGGTTTGAACACCCTAAAGGAATTACATTTTTAGGTGAGAATAACAACACATAATGTCTCATCAGTAACAGGAAATGGTATTATGTGTAGCCTATGCTATTATCCCTCTGTGTGGATAATCTAGACATGAAATTACCAGACATGCCTCAGGGCACGGAATACACTTTGAAAGAGGTTCAAAGAAAGCTAATTTCTGCTACACAGAAGGGAACAGGACATGTTTCTCTGATATCTTGTGCGGATTGCTTAATGAACAACCCAAAGCCTGTTTAATCTAATTGATTAGCTTGGTGTTAATGAATAGAGCTTTCATGACAGCAGCTGCCTCATGTTGATCCTAGCTCTTTAGCTCAATCGAATGAGGACAAAAAGCACAAACTAAGGTGTTTTCACACTGGGCTCGTTTACTGCGATCCGAGCCAGAGTGCCATTGTTTACGGCGCCCCCCACAGCGTTGGTATAGTCTCACCGTCTATGGGTTTCACAACTTGATTCTATCAAACCCTGGTGCGTTTGCGTGCATCTTACTTCATCACAAACGTGCACAGGGCATGATAGAAAACAGAACATGGGTTAAAATATTGTTTTTTATTAATTTGGCACCATTATGCACAGCTGAGTGAACAACATGTTTATTGTGTGTTGCATAAGGTGGCCTTCTGCTGCTTTTTGAAATATGCTCTTGTGACATGGCAAATGGCAAATTTGCCAATGGCAAATCTGCATTATGATGCAATGATATTAAATAAACCTAAAAATAATAATCAAGTACTGGCAAATCTTTGGGTTTTCCCCAGCATTTTTATTTTCTTCTAAAAAAAGTTTTTTACAAGTCACCTTTGTCAAGTCACCTTTATTTATAGCTTTATACAATACAAATTGTTTCAAAGCACCATTACAGTGATAAAAGGAAAATTATTCAATGATGCAAACATTTACATTTAATTATTTAGCAGATGCTTTTATCCAAAGTAACTTACAACTGAGGACTAAAGCAAGCGAGTCCTCAAGAAGAGGCAAAAACAATGCAAGAAGAGCTCAAAATACAAAGTTCAGCCACTGCTCAGAGTAGCATAAGCCAGACACTTTTTTATAAGGTTGTAGTGTAACAAATTTATTTAAATGTTTAATTTAGATTCCAATACTATAGTATATAAACTGAGAAAGTTTATTCCTATGAATTTTGTAACTAAGGTAAATTGTCACAAACCTGCCTGTTCCTGTCTGTCCCGATCTCTCTATTGTAAGTCATCTCTCTATTGTAAGATCTCTCTATTGTAAGTCATCGATCTCTCTATTGTAAGTCATCAGAGCACCAAGACTATGTACCTGCTTAGATTGCTTTCTATACATTCGAATCACACTGTTATGCTAATGAGATCAGGGCTGGAGAAATCCCAAGAGTTAAATCCTGTACTTAATTTACATGCTTTGTTTCAGAGTGTCTCCACCTTTATGTAAATCCCTCCCCCTTGAAAGGTATATCAAGTACAATGTATGTTCCTATTCTATTTATGGATGAAGCAGACTTGAGAATACTACAGTGATGCAAAAGCAATAAAGAACCCTACTTAAAGGGTTAGCTGACTCAAAAAATGAAAATTAAGTCATTAATTACTCACCCTCATGCTGTACCAACCCCATAACACCTTCATTCGTCTTCGGAACACAAATGAAGATATTTTCGATTAAATTTGAGAGGTGGATCACTGCTACATAGGCTCCTAAGGGAGTGAAACTTGACGGCCCAGAAAGTCATTGAAGAAAATGTTTAAATATTCCATGTGACTACAGTGGCTCAAGTATAAGTTTATCAAGCGACGAGAATACTTTTTGTGCGGAAATAAAACAAAGAAAAGGAATAGTCGAATAAAATCATTATTTTTGTTTTATTTCGGCACAAAAAGTACTCTCGTCGCTTGATAAACTTATACTTGAGCCACTGTAGTCACATGGAATATTTAATTCCATGTGACATCATATCTTTGACCTTTTCCGTCAAAGATATTAGAAAAACAGTATCCTCACAACTCTGTTCCTTTCTCGAAAGAAATGACATCTGCAAGGATTTTCAGTCCGGATTTAGACCGTACCATAGTACCGAGACAGCTCTCGTTAGAGTCACAAATGATTTGCACTAATCATCCGATCATGGTTGTATCTCCCTATTAGTGTTACTTGATCTTAGTGCTGCATTTGACAGAATTGACCACAATTGTGTATTATTGTTCATTCAAGCTCGAAAGGGAACTGTATTCTGGCACAGAGTCTGTGCATGCGCATTATACTGGCGCAAGAACACATCCTAAGTTTCCCCAAATAAGCAAGCCAGGGGCAAAAGTGGCAAGGAACCCAAATTTCATCAGGTGAAAGAATGGAGAAGAGAAAAAAAAAACCTTGTGAGAAACCAGGCTCAGTCAGGGGCCAAATCTCCTCTGGCCAACGAACACAGTGCGATTATAATTTAGGTTGCATCACAAGTCAGAAATCATATTGTGGATCGGTAGCATTAAAATATTTAATTTAGTTCCTTTTGCTTGATGATCGGATTCATCACACCAGTATGGAGACAAAGCTAAATGCACATGCAGAAATCAATCCAACAAAATTTTGTCACAAATTAACACTGAGCTAGACACTATGCAGATTAATATCCGTTTCTCTCAGCATGCATCTTAATACACAAAAAATAATGTGACAATGAGCGACAAACAATATTTATTTGATATATTCATCAATTCTATCAGTACCCTATACTGAATCAGTATAAATTACAATCCCAGCTGCACAGGAAAACCGAAATTCCAACTAAATATCACCCCGTTTTTTTCATTACAGTTATTATTTTGACATTTCGACCCGGATAAACTCAAAAACGCACCAGGCTGTACAACATAGCACGATTATGAGTGCAAAACATAAAACTGTCTGCTCCATCCGTTTTTATTCACAGTCTGCCAACCATGACAGCTAATCCAATTGTTCTTCAATCTCATATCATTATCTTCACAACAAACATTAAGTTGCTTCAGTTGCCTAGTAACACAAAACTTTGTGCCTTTCATATGATCATAAATATATTCAGGGATCATGCCTCTCTAATCATTAATCAGCCATTTGAGGCTGGCTATTATTAATGATGTGCACTCTATTGAAATGTTAAGCATATCATTTCCTCTATGTCGTTGTCTTTATGCTGGGGCCGAGGGCAAACATTTGAATTCTCTAATAACGGCGCGCTTATAATGTGTTGCTTAATCATGGCAGTTTGAAAACACATTTAAACAAACTGACAACTGAAAAGAGCACAACGTTACATCGGTCAGACTGCCAATTCATCAATTTGTTTGAAAGATGACAGGTATTTTGACTAGTTCCCTTTAACAATATAGGCCCACAAATCATCTGGGAAAGGAAATGGATTTGTAAGATAAAAGATCTATAACAGATCTGAATGAGGGAGCAATACACACCGAAATGTAACCACAACAAACTATTTAATGATTTATTTTGCTGACAGCACCAGAATAACAAAAATGATGGTGAAGATAAAGGTGAACATCTTTAAATGCATCACATTAACTGAACAAAAGTGTTTTGTTTGAAATAAATTAAAGGTGCTCTAAGCGATGTCACATGTTTTTTAGGCCAAAATTTTTTTTGTCAAATACAGCAAACATCTCCTCACTATCTGCTAGCTGCCTGTCCCCTGAACACACTGTAAAAAAACACGGTCTCTGACTCTGTAGACACCCCAGGGCTCCACAAACGGCAACAAAAACAAACTGGGCCAACCTGCACCACAAAACATAAACAGTGTTCCAGCCAATAACTGACGAGCTAGTGCGTGTACACATGAAGGGGGGTGTGGAGGAGAGAAGCCTGAAGAGGGAAGTTAGAATTATATTCTTAAATTCTCTTTAATCAATCTGGGTGTTTGGGAAGTGCACACCATTTTTGTATTTTTTAAATGTGGAGAACCCTTCACGACACAGACATTTCACAGCAGAGATTAACATCTTGATCTCATGTCTATACATCAGTCAAGCTTTCGCCATGACAACACACTCTCATACTCAGCAGAAAAGAAAGGTCAGTGCAGATCTGGGTGGGATTTATAGTCATGCATATTACATGAATTGGGATCTGACAGATTAAACATTTCAACCTAAGCACATATTTGGAGTGCAAAGGTTCCTTAAAATGAAACAAGTGCATCTAGAGCTCACATAAAATGATGAGATGGAGGGGAGGTTGTAAAATATCTAATATATTCTCAGTCAAAGCTTCAATGTACGTAGGTTCCATTTCAGTTGTCAAGAAAAGCAGTCTTATCACAATATATTGTGATGCAATGCCTTCAGTTGTCCTATAAAAATGTAATTAGTTGACTAATATCTCAAATGAATGACTACTATAGTCTAAAAAAATCGTTGTCGGGGGCCAGCTCTAGACAGTAATTCTGTGAATTCTGCCTCCTGGCAGCTGGCATGTGAGGGAAAGCATGGAAAGTCCAAGAGCTGCTCCGAGTCACATCAGTGAAAATAATGTGAACGAGCAGTACAATCCTCGTGAAGTAAAACAGAGCTGACATAAATTCTCATATTCCAAACTAAAAGGTGATTCATCATCAGGAATAAACAATAAACACTTCAATTTTTCCACCAGAACACTTAAACAAAGAGCAACAGAAAAGCTACTTCACATTGTTGTACAAAATTCAATCAGTTCACATAAGTTTATATTTATTTACTACACAAAAGTACAAAAATCATGTTGTAAATGTTCTACTTTGATTCTACATGTTAGTTCAAATCTTAACAAATGCAATTTTACTAAAACGTCAACTAAAAATAAAATACAGAAATATTAATAATAATTGTATATACTATTCTGTACTAATGATACTAAAATAACACTGGCATTATTGATCATGAAGTAGAAAAATCTTTAATATTTATACCGATTTGAATACATTTAAAATACTTCACTTTACAATGTAATATGAAATAAAATACATTTTCTGACCAATGCTATGTCCACACCATAAGCGAATAGTATTATGTGGCAGGACCAAATTAGACTGTTCAAATTATATCAGCAAAGCTGCATTTCTCAAAAAAAAAATGGTCCTATAGGGTAATAATTTTGCACACAGCCAACAAGCAACTAATCGTCATGCATTGACAATCTTACAATGATTCTGTGTGAACAGTTTGGCCCTTGTGGGAATAGACATACACATCTGAAATGTACTTGCAGCTGTAGAAGAATGCTCAGCATTTAGCGAAATTTGCACATTAGACAGTCAATGGTTATAAAAAGAAATTAGTACAGCTAAATATTTAATTCCTCTTGTCAAAGAGGTTCCTGACAAAACCCCCCAAAGCTAATTAGGCTGGAGGATGAAAGGCCTTCTTTTTTGGTGTGCAGTCATCTGTGTTGGACAATGAAAGGGTTGAGGATGTTATTTCCATGACCATGTGTGGGGAAAAATCAATCTGCTTTATATTTAAGGGCTACAGGCATTCTGCACTTTGTTTCACAAAGTACTGCTTTGAACCCGTTTTCATTTGGTTAAGTGCCATAGAGATTCCCATGCCAAAGGAATCTTCATGTTACACTGGAGAATGTGTGTGGCGGGTCAATAGGGTATTTATGGAAATATACTTTATTAGTCTGAAGGGAAATGTATTAAGTCAACGTATTACCCTTCATAATATGTGGCAGATATACAATCAGCCTATATTGAGAGCAATACTTCCCCGTGCTCTTTTGAATGAAAACCCATCATCTGCCACTTTTGCAAAACAGGAAGTTGGAAAAAAAAACTAAAATCCTTCTGTGAATACTGTAAAATTCTTTAATAAAAGTAAACACTGGCCAAATAAATGGAAATATTAGAAACTAAGCGTCACATAAAAACCTCATTTACCATTAACACTAGAACGGCCATGACGGTAATTTTGACTGTTTTGAATTTTATATCAGCAATAACTTTGCTGAAAAAAAATAATAAAATCCTGCTGGTACGTGACTTTTCCTAAAAGTGTCTATTTTCATTTAAAATGTTTTTTTTCCATATAAATTACACATAAGGCAAAAAAACAAATGAACAAATTTACCTATTTCGGCCATAGAAGGTCACATTGACCGCACCGCACTGAATTACGCAGTATTCTTTTGTTACATTTCCCGCGGTTGACCTTTGTCTCTCTCACTGTCAACAGAATATCTAAATAAGATACTTTAGAGATTATTATCTTGTTATGTTGAATGGATATATATAGCCTATCTATTGTGAATATGCGATAATTACAGTAGGCTACTAATGATATTATTATTTATAAATGTATAATTAAACTTGTTTAATTGTACAGTTTGGTGTTATTTTGTTTTTAAAAGATATCCTAATACAATAAATGCATTAATCTCTCAATTTGGATATTTATCATAAAAGATATAGAGTTGGGAATCTAGCGGTCAAAATAGTAGTTATGAAATCCTAGCACTTCAAACCTTAATATGTCCATCATCTGTACCTCTATTAGTTTACAATACTGGCCATAACAAACAAATTTAAACACATGATGTAACACATTTTTTAGAACTTGTTCAATAAACAAGATGCGTTTCATCTGGACAAGCTTGGGTGCTTTTCTCTTTTTGTGTATACTTATTGTTTGTATGTCTTCTAAGAAAGGTCACGTGGTGCCGTATAATGACTTGAAGTACAAGGGTGGAACAAAAACTGTGAGAGGAAATTCATGGATTGCGACAGACGAGGACTTTTATGTGAGAGATGGGAGCAGGTGTTAGACAGCCAGCTGAGTGACATGACTTGGTGGGTTGGGTGGTTAATTGCGAAGAAAATAAGGCTAATCATTGGCTTTAAGCTTTAATCTGATTTTGACAGCAACAGGAAGTTAAAAAGGGTCACTTGTCATTTGCATGAAAAGGATATATTTCATATTTCCACATATTTCCTTCACCAGCAGCAACCTCGAAATCAAATGGCAGGCTTTCTCTACTTTAATTGAAATACACAGCCCTCAGACTCCTAACCTTATAACAACACATTTACAATTGAAATTGTAATTCTGGCCCTTTTCTGGACTTGGGTTACTGATGATCGGCCATTTGACTACGCACAGAGCCATTACCTCAATCAGAGCTGTTAATGTTTCACTTCATGAAGCACAGCATGCATCTTCCTCAGTGACTCACATAAGTGCTTTTCTACAGCAAAAGGACAGAGTGTCTGAAAAGGGGGATTTCGGAAGCATTTCATCCAATACTGTATAAAGTGTCCTGATTTTATTGACCCATGATGTGACCAAAATTATGGCTAATGTGTTAACACTGAAATTAATTATAAGGAAATTAAAACACCTAAAACAATTAGTGCAATTAATCAGGCCCCTGACATGTATGCACATTCTATAAAAAAGGATTTTCCATCAGTGCAATTCAAGCTTGAAGTACCACCTACAATGCAATGTGTTTTTACACATTGCATTGTATTTATTAGTAAAACTGGTAAATGTATACAATTTAGATTTTATGAAAAACATAAAATCTATGCTGTCAAATTTTTTTCCTAATCATAAACATGCTGTTATTTTACAAATACTATATAAAAATATGAAACGAACACAAATGTAAACAACTTACTTCTAGTCAATAGAGATGGACACAGAATTCAAAATCCCACTCTCTGAACATATGGTCCAGCGTCTTCTGGTAAATACTCAGATACACATTCCAACATGCATCTACAGAGGTCTGAAGAACAGAGAAAATTATGAATTAATCTGAAGCAGGTTAAAGAAGTCAGACAGAGCACACAGGGGACTGGCCTAATTAAGAGTGTTTCCTGTTATGTACTTCCAGTCCATTTGGTGAGATTAGTCACATTATGTGTTAATTTCATTAAGAATCTATACTTATGTTCTATTCTATTCTGCAATGCTATTCTGTATATTGGAATTGAAGATAATTTCATTATGGGGGGGGGGTCATTCTTATAGGGATTGTTCACTCAAAAAAACAAAATGATTTGTTATATATTATTCCAAACCTTTACGCATCTGAAAATGATTTTAATTAAGAAGCTTACTGTTTTATACTGTTAAATGGTACTGAAAGTGAAAACAAAGCTATTTACTATTTTACACACACACACACACACACACACACACACTCACCTAAAGGATTATTAGGAACACCATACTAATACTGTGTTTGACCCCCTTTTGCCTTCAGAACTGCCTTAATTCTACGTGGCATTGATTCAACAAGGTGCTGAAAGCATTCTTTAGAAATGTTGGCCCATATTGATAGGATTGCGATTTGTGGGAGGCACATCCAGGACATGAAGCTCCCGTTCCACCACATCCCAAAGATGCTCTACTGGGTTGAGATCTGGTGACTGTGGGGGCCATTTTAGTCAGTGAACTCATTGTCATGTTCAAGAAACCAATTTGAAATTATTCAAGCTTTCTGACATGGTGCGTTATGCTGCTGGAAGTCAGCCATCAGAGGATGGGTACGGTGGCCGGCCGTGGCATTTAAACGATGCCCAATTGGCACTAAGGGGCCTAAAGTGTGCCGAGAAAACATCCCCAACACCATTACACCACCACCACCACCAGCCCGCACAGTAGTAACGAGGCATGATGGATCCATGTTCTCATTCTGTTTACGCCAAATTCTGACTCTAGGATTGTCTTGACCAGGACCACACCCCTATGCATTGAAGCAACTGCCATGTAATTGGTTGATTAGATAATTGCATTAATGAGAAATTGAATAGGTGTTGCTAAAAATCCTTTAGGTGAGTGTTTATCTATATAATTACAGTATACTATATAATATACTATATATATATATATAGTATATTATATGTATGCACACACACACACACACACATATACTATTTAAACATAACTACACAATTATTCCAAATCACTGCCAGCAAAATAAGACCTTGTGACCAACTGTTATGCTTACCCTTTACAACACTGTCCCTAAAACAGATGCATTGAGTCTTTGAATACCATTCTGTGCTACACTGAAAAGCAGATAAGACTGTTTACATTGATTTCTGTTGCCATTTACAAAAGTCTAACCGTAAGACTGGATTTCAATTTTAGTAAAAATGAGAACCAACACATTGACAGCTGATTATAATATAGCAAAGAAGGGATATTAAAACAACATTAACATTACTGTCCATCCCAGTAACTAGCCACCCAAAAATCTTTCAAAAAATAAAAGTAGTTAATGTTTAAAATTTGATAGCGTAGCATGTCTGTAATCAAAATCAATTGCAAATCATAAAGTAATTCTGCCTGCATAACAGAAATATATAAACATACTCAAACCTAAAAAACACCCAAAAATACATCAAACAAAAGGAGTGTAGCCTCCTCAAGTGTGAAGGTTGAGAGATTGTAATTGTATAAATACTTCATAAAAGACACAGCAAAACCTCTAAAAATTATGCTATTGTTTATAGAATATTTAAAAGGCACATCAAGTATGTACATATATCAGATGACGATTTTTAATATTTTTTTTAGTAAAGATATGACATATCTTGAAAGGGGAGTGGCAACTGCAAGTATCTCTTTTCGCTGTCTGGAACATTATATTGCCATACGCTACTATTCAAATGAACTTAATAAACTTCAAAAGGTGACTTTAACAGATATCTGTCCTTATTCTGTGTAGCAGCTACTTGACTTTCAAAACAATTTCATTCCATCACCTGCTTTACTCATCATTAGTGACCATTTAGTGTATTACAAATGAAAAATGTTCCCCATGAAGACAGAGAAACTGGCCGAAGCCAGTAACTTAGCTACACAACATATATTATGACAGAGAGCACGGACGGAGCACGCCGAGTTTGGAATAAAGTTGATTTATTCGCTAACTTTTCAATAACAATCAGTTATTATTTTTAGTCTAGAGGGTTAAAGCAGAGAAACACTTTAACATGGTAAGTGTGTGTGGGCTAATTGCCGTTGTTTGAAAGTTGTTTTCAAGGTTCACCAAACAGAGAATGTGACGAACACACTCGCTACTGCCCTCAAAAAGAAAATAGTCCAAAATAACACTTTTCCTCCTTTTCAATAAAACCAACAGCGATCTATAATACTTGAGTTTAATGTAAAATAACTAAAATTGCAGCTAACATTTCATGAGACCAAGAAATGATAATCCAATTTACCTTGTATCGCAGAAAATCTGTTCTGTTTGCTGCTGCCTTGAACGCAGTGCGCTCGCGTGCTACAGTTGTGACTACCACAAAACCAACACAAGCCACACGCACTCGCCCTCAGTTACCGTAAACAACAGAAGAGAATTCGCGCGCAGCACAGAGAAACTGTCGTAATGATTATAGCTGAGAAAACGTCATCGTAAATTATATCCTTGTGTCTAGGTCCTCATTCCAAAGGTAAAGGCGTTATATTGACTGTCACCGAGTCAGAGTCTGCCTTTGAGATTGAAGAAGACAAAACCTTTCTAAACATAAATGCTTAGCAAATACGAATGTTGTTTGTGCACTGTAAAAAAATATTTTCATGATTTGTAATCACATTTTTTCTTTTGTCAAATCAACTTAAATAATTTATGTAGTTCAGAATTAGATAACATAATATTTTGAGTTTCTGATGATTAAATCAATCTCCTTTATTGTATTAACTCAATTTTTCCATTTCAATGAACTTAAAATTTTAAGGCAACCAGGTTATTATTTTTTTAAGTTAAACCAACAATATTTTTTGCAGTGTGTGTGTGTATTATTCATGGACAGACACTAAATAAGGCACTACATTGCACAGTTTTTGTTGTTTTTTGTTTGTTTTTGTTGTTGTTTTTCAAGTAAAGTGGAATAGATCATTAGCAAAAAATATATGGCAGACACTTTACGTTTATAGCAAGTACTTGCTGTTTTAATATTGAAGATAATTTCATATTTTAGGCCTAAATAATGTAATTTTCTTGAAAAAATAGGCAAGAATGTTGAATTAGATGTATGTCCCTGCCAGGGGGTCTTCTTGTTCCCTTAAAGCTCTTTTTTGGAACGTGGGTTTCTGGTCTAATTACATGATTCATGTTAGTCATGTTCACTGTTTTACCCCATGAGCTATCAAAAAAAAATTGTGATATTGGAATTTTAACTTGTGTAATTTACTCACAGGGAGGTGATGGCGCAGTAGATAAGACACATGCCTTTGGTGTGAGAGTCCCGGGTTTGAATCCACTGTGAGACACCAATGTGTCCCTGAGCAAGATGCTCCAGAGGCGTGGGACCTCTGACTAGTTACAATTGTAAGACGCTTTGGATAAAAGCGTCAGCTAAATGAATAAATGTAAATGTACTCAAACCGTCCCAGTTAATGAGATTTAGCCTGGCCTGACAGAATGTAGCTTGTTATTAAAGACAAAAAATGAGGACAGCCAATTTAGTATAAAATGGTGAACATGCTATCAATAAACTGCAAGAATAGCAGTTGGGTTATTTTATTGTGAGTTTGTCTTATTATGAAGGTATTAAAGCAGACTATGAGCTAAATCAATCACTGAATTTTCTCATTGCAGAATTTTCTGGCCCTAGAAGTATTCTACCACAAGGCATGCACTTTCATAGGAATAAAAAGACAAATCAACCCCTTTAATTAATGAAATTGGGGGACACCAAAGCAAACCAGATGCATAGGGTCTTTAATTCAGTTACTCATTCTGGAACTAAGAAAACCAAGTGCAATAACCCACTTTGATTTTAAAGCAGAGCCCCAAAAGGGAGTTGAATGGGAGGCGATCATATTCTCACATAAGATTACCTGCATCCTCAGTCGATTTCTGTCACAGCTAATATCTTTGTATGTCTACAGCACCCAGTGAAAGTCCATTTCATATTACTGAATGTTAGCTCCCCCATCTAGTCCTCAAATCTTTTTGAAAATTTTATCTGAAATTGTATCTACCTGACTGTGCCCTTGTTCTGAATAGCATAAACGACTATTGCTCTTAGACAAGATCACAAAAGCAATTTAATATTGTGGTTAAGCAGGCTATGTCTTGGATCACATCACATGCACCTCTGATAAAAGGCTCTCAAACAGAACAGCTTTGGCTGCGCTCCTGATTACCTCTGACCCTCATCAAATGCTGTAACCATTATGCAATCAGTCTTCTGCATTAGATTGGCCTACTTATTCCCAGGGAAGAGGAATAACTCACTGATGACGTGAATATGTCTGAACGAATGTTTAATCTGCTTCAGAAAATGTAAAATACTAACAAAAGTAACATCACTGAATGTATTATGACCTCAGTTAAATTCTAGCCATGTAATAAAGTGGAGTCCCTATAGGAAAATGCTCAGCCACTCCCCTGTTATTCTATGCTTCCCATGACACTTCTAATGGATCGTGATGACGACTTGAGATGTAAAAGTGATCAGAAGAGAAGAAACATCCTGCCACAGAGGGGGAAAGAGAACCGCGGTTTATAACAGCATTTGGTTAAATTGCAAAGTGTGAGTAGAAAAGAAAAAGAAAAAGGAAATAAATACAATTAAATACAGTAACAACACTTTGGATAGGAAATTTTAATAGGCTTTAGCTTTGTTTTAATTTCCACTGCCTTGCATCATTTTGTTTTAAATGGTATTTTCTGTGATTTTTCCATAAAATAACAAAATGCACAATTCAAGTCCATTTATCGATTCCATTTATCGTTCATTAAAACCTTGTTTAGATTATGTGGAAATATCTATTTTTCTTTCCCTGTACTGTCACTTGTACATGTGAAGAGAAAAACATATTGAATTAGAGAAATAGAAATTTTCATATAGAAAAACACCTGCTCTATTGCTTATCTGAGACATTTCATGGACATCATGCAGACAAAAAGTTACAATTAAAAAAAATTTAAGCAGTTGTCATGCAATTTAATTTAATTTAACCCACAATCTGCCCACTTAAAACAAGAAACCTTTCTTCAGAACACCATGCTGAAAGTACACTTTAGACCTCAGCAAAAAAATATATATATATATATTAGCCTGCTACGTGGACTTAAAGGATTGCAACATCCAAGCAAAAGAGTGAGCTTATATCCACCAGTTTTAGAGTCACAAAGGCTATGTTTAACCAATTTATATTCTAATTTAGATGGAACAGTACAGGATGGTATAGACAGAATACCATCGACAGGAAAAAGTGAATTTATACTGCATGACTTTGTTATATGTGACTTTCCTGTACTTGTGGACAATTGTTCAGTTTAATTTAAGTGCAGTGGTCAAGTGCAGTGGCATCTCCACGGCCACAGAAGATGCGGGGAGATTGTGGGGAGATGGGATGGCAAAGGATCTTTCTCAATCAGAGACTGAATATTTGTTTTCATTTATTGTCATCAAAACACTACATTTGCTGCTAGTTGTATTGTCCATTGCTGTTATATCTCCCCCTCCAAGTATTTGAATAAACAGATCTTATTTAATCACATCTGTGGACAAAATGCATGGTGCTCCATCTTTTTTTCCATATCAACACTCATGCAGACAGACATTAAATGTCAAATGTAAAGAGTAAAACAAATATTCGAGTGCTATAAATATAGGAGTGCTATTAGGTCAGGATACAGGAAAAAAGCAAAATCCGAAAAGGTGAAGAGTTTTGCTAATGGGTTGTTGTGATAAATTCACACAATATGAGGCAAAATCCTGCTCAGAGAGAGAGTGAGAGAGAGAGAGAGAGAGAGAGAGAGAGAGAGAGAGAGAGAGAGAGAGAGAGAGAGAGAGAGAGAGAGAGAGAGAGAGAGAGAGAAAATGGCCCACTTTATGTTTTATGTTCTAATTCCTCTACCAAGTGTGGTCTCTCAAAAAAAAAAAAAAAAAAAAAACATATAACCCATATTGTTGCATGCACAAACACAAATAAACTATCATGCATACAAACATAATAACACATTGGCAATGAGTATCTTTTGTCTCTATGTCACTATTACCAAGACACAAAACAACACATGGATTTACTCGATCATTATCTGAAAGAAATTTTGTAAGAAAAAAACAAAAACATTTGAGACTACTCACTAAAGGAATGAATCAGACAGAATCTTGCCATTTTGACTTTAATGTGAATACTAATTGACAGCTAATAGATTGTGCCTGCAACACAATTCTAACAACAATGTAACGGAATGCTTCTTATAACATGATTTCAAATCGATTTAACTGTAGAAAAAAAAAACTAGAAAAAAATGTTAAATAACAAAATAGCTCCACCAAGTGGACATTACTGATCATTTTTTTTATTTGTGAAAACATGCCCAGAACGTCAGAATATTGCTTGCCATAACAGTATATCTATTGTTGACCTGAGAGCCAGATAATTTTGATAAAATGTGATTATAATAAAATATACATACATACAATAAAGTCACAAAAAGTCATTAAACAAATGGACAAATTTAAATTACATCTAGCTAACAATGAACATTAACATTTATTAAATCATTCATCTATTGCAGTTATAAATTGACAAACAACAAACTTAACTTATTATCAGAAAAGATGTTTAATTCATTTCAAATTTTCACCATTTTTATAAAGACGGGCATGTGTTAGACAACAATGAACATTTAAAATGTTGGTAACACTTCACAATAAGTTTCATTAGTTAACTACAGCTACCATGAATTAATAATGAACTGAAGTAATACATAATTGATTAATCTTTGTTAATGTTAGTAATAGGCCTACATTCAAATCTTGTTAACATTAGTTAATGCACTGTGAACTAACATGATCAAACAATGAACAGTTGTATTTTATTAACTAAATTAACAAATACAGAAACAAAAGTATTGCTTAAGTGTTACCAACATTTTAAACCTGAAGCTCTCAACTTTGATTAATAGGCTAGTGAAACGTGGCATGCACCACTAAACAAACCAGAAAATCATGTTTTCTGCACCACTAAACAAACCAGCAAATCATGTTTTCACAAGTCTCAAAATGTGCTATTTGAAGAAAAGAAATAACTTTTGTGTGATTGTTCTGTATATGTTTGATATATTCATTATTTACTTACACCAAAGACAACTGAGGACATAGTTTACAACAGGTAAACTTGCAAACCTTGATAATTTACAAGGTTAGAAAAGACGTGCTTTTGTCGAAAGAGTCCAAATAATAAACCCAGTATTTAGGTAGGCTACCAGCTAGAGTCGTTGCCTCGGTTAAATCTCACAGGTTTATCGACTTGTGTTTGCAAGGTGGTGGAATTATAAATAACTTATTGTATGATGCTACATGTGCGGAATTCATGTGCTGATAAATGCGCATGTTGTGTGGCTGAGCAGGGGAAATGGAAGTGAGCCATTTAGGTAACTAACGAGGTGATTTCATCAGGTGATTTCGGGTTAGCATTAGCAGGCTATACACATTAGCATTCAAGTCTTGTCGTAAAGATCGTATTTACGAAACCAGAAACCACCACAAACGTCATAAATACGAGCGAGAAGCTAGGTATTTTCCATAGACACAGTATATAAGTATATAAGGTATTTAAGTCCCGAGTTTACGATTTGTGGGCGTGTTCGTGAGGAAAGTGCCGGTTTAGTTATCAGATGTCAGGCTGTTTTATTACAACAAAATAAGTAAATTGTCTGCACAAAATATAATAATATGAAAATATAATATGTAACTATAAAGTTTAAAGTGCTGTCATACATTTATTAAAAACATAAAAAAGCAAAACGCAACTGCACATTAATTGTTTTTCATTTTCTGGAAGTAAAGTTTAAAAACCTTGATGTATTATTGTGAAGTTAATTAAGAGAAGGGAATTCCCAACTCATAAAATATTAACTTAACAGAAGGACTTAAACGTTATTATTAGTAGGTTTCAAATCAACGTACAGTAGCCCAGTCTGTTAGAAAATCTAAAATATGTCCCTAAAAGGGTTGTAGAACAATCTGCGTGACAAAATCGACCCAGCTTTATTTTTGTAAACGGCAAGTAATAAAATCAATGATTTTAATCAATGAATTTCCATTTAAAATATTATGGTTTGGCCCAGTTAACCCCCTGCTGGCAGATGCCATAAAAACACTGACTGGCTGCATAAACTTTTCACTGAAGGCCATTTAAATGTAGCAATGTATTCTGATTAAATTCGTTGTCAATGAAATGAAAAAAAAAAAGATATGTATATTTACACTGCATATGGTATTTTTTACACAATTTGCAAATCCTTCCATACACCCCTGCCTATTTTCTGTTATAATAGGAAAGAAAACTGTGATCATCAAGTAATCTTAAGGGGTTTTTAATAATCAGCAAAACATGCAGGAACCACATGATTTCCCCCTGTCATTACAATGAATAAATACAAAAGAAGATTTTAATATCTTAATCTTCTCACCAGTAATCCAATTAACCTTACAATATGTAATATAATATGTAATACACATGGGCAAGCACCATTTTTAATGAATTGCTTAAAAAAGATTTAATTGACATTTCATTTAAAAATTCTGATACTGCAGTAGAAGGTCTTCACTGTGTTCCTTGGCAGTCTGAAAGGGAAAAGATAACAAACGTAAACAAAACAGAAATACAAGATCACAAAACAACAACCTGACTTAAATTTACAAATAACTTTGTCTAAAAAATGATGACTATGCATATGACTTTCTTTATATAATTTGTCACAAGCAGAAGAATCCAAATGTAATGTAAAATATGTGTTCTACTGCAATTTACAGAATATAAGTGTTCTCTAAAAAGTAACAAGGCATCTTCAACAAGTTCACTTACTAAGATGGTGTTGGTAATTGCCTTCAAGCGGTTCCAGAGGTCTCAGAGACTTTAATCTCCTCCTCTAACTCATCCACACCTGCCTGAGTCATGAGATCAGAGATGTTCTTCTCCAGATCATCGATTCGCGTACTCATCTCATCAAGTATTAGAATTAAGACAAAATCGTTTTTGAATAATCATCTCATAACCAAGCTAGGAAGCATGAAACAGGTTTTAATTGACTTTATGCACAGCTGCACTACTTCCTGAACTTAAGCCAGCTCCCTTGTTTCCTGTCTGCCATTATTGGCCAAGCTTGATTAATTCAGGTGTGTCTGATTATTGTTGCCGTGACTACAGAGGTCAGGCACACCTGAACTAATCAATTTGGCCAATAATGGCAGACAGGAAACAAGGGAGCTGGCTTTAGTTCAGGAAGTAGTGCAGTTGTGCATAAAGTCAATTGTGTATAAAACATAGCTAGTGTATTCCACTCAATTCAGTTAAAGGTCTGAGCAATTATTATATGCAAAAGGATATTTCGCCCGATGATCTGGTCTGACATGGTCTGGAACTTGTCCTGCATCTGCTGCAGCAATGTCTGTACCTGCATTGAGGAAAAGAAAAAAGAAAAATGTTAAAGTAAATACGAAACAAGCAATCAGACTAAACTTGAGCAAATTCAATAAAATTGTGAATGAACAACTAGCATAAAAGAAGTATCTAGAATCGTGTGGGTTTTGCGTGGGCTTCCCACACAGGAGTAAAAACAGCAGTTTAAGGGCATGCTCTCCGCCCACGCGTGGAACTGAAACCATAGTAACAAGGGAAACCTCTCAACATCATCGTGTAACTGTAATCACACAATATACCTGACATTGAAATCAAGAAAGCTTTCACAACCCTCCTGGTAATATATTCTATAGGCTTTACAAACTAACAGATTGATGAAGAAAGAAAACATATTTCCTTTAGGAACTCATTCGATTGGTCTGTCAGTCCTAGTTCAAGACACAACGATTAATAAGTCAGACAAGATGACACAACGATTAATTAACTCAGGCAAATCACAACACTTCACACTTTTCAATATTAAACACTAATTAAACTATAGCCTACTTTGGCTAGTGGGGTAAGCGTGACTAAATTCTAGGCGGCTGTAAAAGTCCACGACCCTGCATTGTAGCTCGGTGAAAATCAAACACTCACCACAACAGTCAGGTCCTGCGATGGTTTAAGGTCCTTCTCGGACATTATCTTCTTCAACAATTATACGTGCTTTTCCGTGTGATCAAGAGCCTTGTCAAGGCAGTGCAGTACAGTCTGTGTGAAGCATTCGAGGTGGAAACTGTCGTGGAAGCAATAGCTGAATTCGTTGTTAAGGGGTTTGGTCAGTGAACTAAAATCAATAGAGCGGTTTAAATGCATTTTTAGCTGCAATAATATATTTCATACAGGGGGCGCTCGGTGGCTCAGAAAGACCATGAGAAAGAGAAATAATTTGTAGCAAAAACAAAGACTAAAAAGAATATTATAATATCACATAAATCTGAGCAGCTGAAATGAATAGTGATTAGTGCTGGCAATTACAAATAACTTTATAAAACCTTTATTGTCAGCCTTTTGATTATATTTTATAGTAGGTTTCATGTGTCAGAGCTTTTGTGTTCTCTCGCAAATGTTTTGTGTTCCCCCAAGAAACTTTGCATTCATTTGAAAAACCTTTTGAGAAGATGTATTTTTAGAGTATTTGCTCGTCCGCAATACGTCTATAGGACGTTTCCTGACAGATGTCAAATAGACGTTTAAAAGATGTCTTTAAGATGTAATGATCTAGAATGTATGTTAAACTGACCTCTTAAAGATGTCTATCAGATGTTAGTAAACAGCAGATGCTTTCTAGATGAAGTGATATTTAACAGACATACGTGTGCTATCTGGGAAAAATTTTCCTGAGGGAACGCAAAGTTTATCTGGGGAACTCAAAACTTTTGCGAGAGAACGCAAAACCATTGACAGATGTTGTTTTCCTCCATTTCATATTTTTTCCTTCACCATGTCCCTTTAGGGCAAGGGTGGGGAACGTTGGTCCAGGAGGGCCACTGTCCTGCAGAGTTTAGCTCCAACCCTGAAAAAAACTCAACTGATTGTAGCCTTGGTGATCCTGAAGACATTGATTAGATTGGGTGTGTTTAATCAGGGTTGGAAACTCTGCAGGAGAATGGCCCTCCAGGACCTATGTTCCCCACCCCTGCTTTAGCTTTTCAATAAATTAAGAAGAATGTTTATTTATAATTATTAGAATTGTCATTCTTTCCATTTTTAAGTTTAATGACTCCACAGTGATAGCATTTGATACTGTTATGCTATTTAAGATCTTTAAGACTTTTTATGGCCTTTTGACATTATTAAGTTTTGAAATATTACCAATATGCCAGCGGTTACGCTGGCAACCCTTACAAGCTATTTCCTAGATTTAAATAATTATATTTACCAGTGACTCCTGTGCAACCACCATTTACATGTACTGTTTACAACAGTAGAAGAAGAAGTGTTTCCTGTGAACCAATGCTTTCTAAGCGCCCTAGCGCCCCCTTTCCATGTAAAATGGTTATTTCATAGCAGACAGCTTCTTAGGTTCTTATCCTCTGGTAAAACGACATTGCGGCAACCGGCAAGAACAGGAAAGTAAAGCCTGTCTAACAACTGATCTTACTCGGCATAGAAGGATAATGATAGTTTATAAATGTAGCACTATTAATTTAATCATTTGCATAATGTAAACACAAACCATAAAATTTGCAACAGATAGACTCAATTTCCCATGAATACAGCGACTAGCGAATGAATCATGGGTATTGTTGTTTATTTGTCATTGCATTCAGTGCAGTCTTTCGGGAAATCTCATTGGTTGAACTACATTCCCCATTAACACTTTAGGGTAAATTTTACATCGCAACGGCAATTTCACCGCAAGGGGTTTCATGAGTCAGTTGACATCGTCGACTTTGGTGAGGCGCGCCGGGGGCGACACGCACACGTAATTTTCTTATGGGAACTTTTGCCGTTTGCCCCCTTCGTCTAAAAGGATAATAACCTAAACGCAGAGTTTATATTACTAGCATTCGTTTGCAAAAAAAAAAAAAAAAATGCTGGATCCTTGGTTTTATTATTGGTTCTTTTTCACTTGGTGGTCCGTTAGGTAATAGAAGCTGGATTTTTTTTGCAACGCTACTTGCTGACCAAAAATAAGTTAATTAATCCTTCCAGAGACTCAAGATCCTGCGATATTTAATTGGATCCGTTTGTAAAACGAGGTAAAATCGCATTCTAATGCCCAGCTAACCAGACTAGCTGGTCAGCCGGGGCTTGCTGCGCCCAAGCCGGGCGAAGATTGACGCTGCTCGGTGTCATCTAACTGAAGAGGATCTAGTTTATTAGGCGACAATGCTTGAAATAATGTCCGAGCACCAAGGTAAGGAAAAATCTTGACTTTGATTTTAAATGTTTAAACTTTAACCATGTTGTGATAACACCCATCAACGATCAGTTTTAGCAGAGTCAGCTAAGAGTTAGCAACGTTAGCAGTTAGCAGCTTTAGTACTGTAATAATTTAACATACTCTTTAAGTTAGTTGTTAAGTGTAATTTCTCCAGTAAGCTTGATTCATTGCCAGTCACTTTGTAGTGTATAATCGTGGTAATGTAGTAGTGGACATTTTATTTGCGCTGACGATCTGGTTCATATAGGGATTGGCCAAGTTGCTATATTGTGCAATGGGTTGAAATTACTCGACTTGATTGTAGTTAACGTTAGTCTCGTATGATTAAAAATCATTCCTGATGTCCAACCACTGTTTTCTGTTTATTTAATTTGCACATTTCCAAAACCGCAGTTCGCATCATTGCGCATTTTGTCTTCGCCAAGTAACGTGACGTTAACAGTTAAACCAGCTTTGTTTTTAAAGTAGTTGGTGCTGTTGACCATTTTAACCCAATGCCAGGTACATGGCTTTTGTTTAATACGCAGTTCAGCGTTTTCTCTGATATTTTTATACCGTTTGACAAAAATGTTGCCTATTAATGCAGGTCACTGTATTGTGCTTAGCGTTGTTTCGGCGCCTGACGCCGCGGTAAATGTATTGTCGATGGGGTCTGATCACCTCTTAGCACTTATTGATTTATTTGTTGTAAATACTCCCTAATCAACCATATATGATTTTGTAAGAGTTTCCACACCAGTGAAGTTGTCTTGGGTTGTTTCGACGTCGACAATAAAGCCTTGAGCCACATGCTGATTCTGCTGCGTCCTTGTTCCTTTATCACCGCTTTAGCTTACTGTGTGTGTCGCTAAATTAGTATAACGTTAGTTTTCTCCACAGTGTAAGTCCCTCAAACCGTGTGGATGTTCGGATATAAAATGGTGCTTTGAGCTCTTGAATTTTACGCCTCGATCAACAGGGTGAGCGAGGAATATCGCACAGCTAGCCAGTTAGCTTGCCATCGAAAACGCACTTTTTTACTAGGTTTGTGTCACAGAAAACGGCACGAATCAACTCCGTGCAACGCTCGCTCGGTCAAACCTGTTGTTTAGCCACGAATTAATATTATTCTTTCCCCTTCTTTTGTTACATAGATTCATTACTGAAGTGCAAAGCAGAGACTCTGGTAAGTCGAACAAGGAAATAAAAAAAACACCCTATAGATGGCAGTGCTTGTCCCAATGCTAATGATTGATGTTCATGTCCAGCCATCAGAGAAAAGAAAAAGGACAGTGGAGGACTTCAACAAGTTTTGCAGTTTTGTTCTTGCATATGCAGGTTACATCCCTTCTCCAAAGGAGGTAAGAATGGAGCATTGTTTCACAATTATGTGTTGAAGCACTTGCAAAATTCATGTCCCAAGACCTCCAAGTGCTGCAATATTTTGACATCCATTTCAGGGCATGGAGCCTGCTCTAATGTGCTAGGTAGGGTTGCACCAGTCATTCATAAGTCTCTCAAGTAAAACAAGAGCATGTTGGTGCAATTCAGTAAATCTGTTATTTGATTCGAACCGTTACTACTGGTCTAAAGCTTCAGTAAAGTTTGTTTAGTTTATACTTAGATTTCCTTCAACTAAATTTATTAGTCCAGTGCAAAAATATTTAGTCACTTGATCTTGTAACTTTGTGCCTCCTTGTCAAAACTAGGCTTAGATGTAACCTGTGCACTGTTGGTGCAACCAGCTCCTTGATTAGTTGAGGTCAACCTATACTTGTTTTGTTTTTTCAGATGATAACTAAGTTGGAAAATCTTGCCGATAACTGATTAATTGGCTGATAGTTTTTGAACTCTGGAGTTTAAAAAGATAGTGCTGAATTTATGAAATTAACAATGATGACCTGCAGATGATAACAGTGATAACCTGCAGATTTACCGAGTGCAACCCAGGAGTGTCCAGTCCTTCTCCTGGAAGGCCACAGTCCTGCAGAAATTGGATCCAACCCTAATTAAACACATCTGCACCAAGGTAATTAAGGTCTTCAGGATTACTGTAATCTTCTGGGCAGGTGTTTTGGGACAATTTGGAGCTAAACTCTGCAGGATGTTGGCCCTCCAGGATCAGGATTGGACAATCCTGTTTTAACCTGTACTGTCTATGTACAATTTCCTGTCCTCTTGAACTTTTGACTGGTCTTTTGAACCTGTATTCCTAAATGTCAGTGATGGCTTTGGTGTTTTAATACCAAATATCATCCGATCCATCCAGATTGAGATTTGTGTGCCTGTTTCTGTCCGGCAGGAAAGGCCATGGTCGGCAGCATCCTCCAGTTCTCCAAATAACTCTGGTGCTTCAGGAGAAGGCAGTGTGTTAGGTGGAGCGAGTTCTAACATGGCTCCCAGCTGGAGTCACGGCACGTCAGACTTGCACACCATCCACACCTTCGTTCGCAAGGCTCGTGCCAATAAGAGCAACAAGAGTATGCGGCGTCTCTCATCTGACAGCACCCTGATGGACAAAATGCGTTTAAAAGACTCTTTCTATGAGGACCAAGTGGCCAGCAAAGCTGAACGCAAAAAGGACAAGAAGCTGAAGCGTCTTTCTCTAGGTTCAGGCGCTGGCAGTAGCAGTAGCAGTGGTGGCGAGAAACGTGCAAGAATCAAGCGCAGTAAAAACCCCAAACAGTCCAAAGCCCTTAAGAAGCTTAAGAGCTCGGCCCACAGCGAGTCAGACTCTGAGAATGGTCTCGGCCATGAGGAGGAGCATTCGGACCCGGGAGCAATGACTGAGCGCAGACTACAGGCACAGGTGAAAGAGGAGAAGGAGGAGGCCACCCAAGAGGCAGACATGAGCTCCAGTGAAGGCGAGACTTGGATAGCAGATGAAGACATAATGGTGGAGTCAGGTTAGTTTATTAGGGACAGAGGAAGATTTAGATCAACTGTTTGTGTGTATATAAATATATACATGCACGCATGTATATCATTTATTTTTTTATGTGTAGGACTTAGTTTTTCTTTTGTTTTTTTATATATATATATATATTTTATTTATTTTATATATCTTTTCCTTACAGGGGACGATTCGTGGGATTTAATCACCTGTTACTGCGGTAAACCCTTTGCAGGACGGCCCATGATTGAATGTAGTCAGTGCAGCGTGTGGGTGCACCTCTCTTGCGCCAAAATTAAGAAGTCTAATGTGCCTGACATATTTAATTGCCACAAATGCAGAGACTCTCGGCGGTCAAGTCAGAAAAAAGACACTTAGATGAGGGTGTTCATTCCCTCCAAGGTCTGAATGTTCCCGGTTCTCCAGTTTTTGTATCTGACACCATTTTCAGTTTCAAAATCCTTTCTTTTTTTGTTTTTACTTCCTTTGCAATTCTAGTTTTGGCAACTAGTTACCCATTACGTTTTGCAGTCAGAGGTCTCAAATACAGATGGAGAAATCATGTTTGAATTAATTTCTTACCTCCTGAGTTGGTATTTGACCACGAGTAGTTTGAATTGATGTGACGGCTCGTTTGTAAGCTATTTGTAAACCATCCCTTTGTCACATCAAATTGACATTTGTTTGAAATGATTGGCTTGCATATTGGGTAATATTGGGCACTATTTTCCTTTGTGGGAAAAGTTAGAGGGCACCGTTTCAACCCTACAGTTTCCACAAATGTATACTATAGTGGTTGTATTGATAGTACAATTGAAAAGAGACTAAAACTAAACACATTACTGAAATACGTTGTCATGAATTTGCCAAAGATATGATATGAAAATTCATTATTTCTTAGTGAACTGTCCAGTTGATAATTTTTTGTTTAGTTTGGATAAATGGCTTTTTTTGAAGAATAGTAGATGTATTGTGTTAGTCTGAATGCCTTTTCCTGTTGGTGATCATACACCTTTTTAATTGCTGTTTGTCACACCCAAATGAACTTCAGTCAGCTAGCTATATTAGATCAAATATAAAGAGCTATACGAGTCATTTAAGCAGGGAATCCTTTCAGTTGCATTAATTTCTTCTAACTCTACTGGTAATGTACAGTATGTTAACCCATGTACTTTGTCAAAGAATCTATCAGAACTGTTCAGTCTTTAATCACTTGCACAACATAGTGTTATTTTTTTCAAGGTGTTCAAAGATTTTTGGAAGATTTCTGTTTAAGATGTGAAGGCTAGATTTAGGATCTTTGCTGAAGCTGTCCTCGAATGGAGCGGTTGTAATTGTTTTCAGGAATTATTTGGGGGTTTTAAAACTCTGAGAACTGGTTAAGATTACTCATTTATGCTAAGAGCTCTTTCATTTGAATTAGTTTGGAGACTATTGTTTGGATTTTTTTTGTTTGTTTGTGAAGCAAGGGGGACTGGAAAGCCCCATAAACCGAACATCTCTTGCTTAATGTTTCAGTCTGTAAATAGCACAGATTTTGAGAAGTGTACATATGTGAAAGTGAAGAGAAAAGCAAAGCAAAAGGTATATTTTTTGCATCTGATATCGTTTTCTTTAACTACCTGAAGAAATAAAACTTTTCTTTATTGGGCTTTGAATGTCTTATTTTCCTAATCTATCTTATTTTAATTCACAGAGACATGATGCAATTTAACACGAGTTGAAAGAATATTAGACAAGATTAAGTAGTTATCCATGGAGGTTTTATTTTGCAGCAATGCCAGTACAGCATCTGTCAGTTTGCACCCCACTAGAGGGAGCTGATAAGCTAATATTGATAAAACATAAATACAAATAAATAAGTCACAGTTCCTAAGCCTGAGATGCAATGACTTAATAGAAACCAAAAAAGAACTAAAACTACACAACATAATAAATTGTCATATGTGACGGTTTGTAATCTGTCAGCTTGATCACTTTGCGTCATACTCCTTAAAATCTCCAGGTTCCTCCTAAGGGGGGAAAAATATTTTAACATTAATTGGATATGCAGTCTTTATTTCAAATGTATGCAGCCAAGCCACCATGGTTTTCTCTTGTCTGAAAATACCTTTCTTTTCCAAGTAGACAAGTAGGAACTGCCAATGGGGTCCAGAGGAACAGTGATCCTCCTCCTAATGGGGAAACAAATGTTGAAAAAGTGTGAATTTAGGCCTAAAATCATAGAATAGCTCATTTTGAAAACAATTTACAAATTGTAAAATAAATAGAGATTGAAAATAATTAAATTATATATAACAAAATGATTTCAAAATGTTAATAAAATAAATACATAAAGTAACTGCGTAAAGATTCCAATTGACCTCTTATCCTTGTTTTTGCGGCGGTTGCTGTTTGCCGGTTGCACGTTGATATGTTCCAAAGGGGAAAAGAAGGCAGGAGACTTAGCCGGATTGGGATCCCAGTCCCGAGTCATTTCACCTTCATTTGCTGGGAACAAGTCTGCCAGATCAGAGAGCTCATAGATGTGTGGTGACATCTCCTGATCCGACCTGTGATTGCTCTGCAGGAAATTAGATGTATTTTTAATATATCTGATATATTTTAAAATGCATCTATTTCAATGCTGTATTAAAACACTTCAGAAGTGTATTTAAATGTACGGAAGCGTATTGCATTCAGTTGAAGAAAAAAAAATCTACTCTGTTTTTCTGAATTAATTATCTCAGAATTACGTTTTTCTATTTTTCATGGAAAAAGGTTTTTGCTCTGTTATTCTTAAATAATGAGTTAATTATGAGATATATTTTTCTTGAAAAACATTTTTTTCACTTTGTTTTTATGAGTTAATGAGTTACTCATAATTTTTGAGATAATCAAGTCATTAATTCAGAAAAACAGCAAAAACTTTTTTCCATGAAAAATTGTCTCGTAATTCTGAGATAATTAACTCATTAATTCAGAAAAACAGTAAAAACTTTTTTTCCACGAAAAATGATCTCGTAATCCAGAGATAATTAACTCATTAATTCAGAAAAACAGCAAAAAACTTTTTTCATGAAAAATGATCTCGCAATTCTGAGATAATTAACTCATTAATTCAGAAAAACAGCGAAAACCTTTTTTTCCCGTGAAAAATTATCTCGTAATTCTGAGATAGTTAACTCATTGATTCAGAAAAACAGCAAAAATCTTTTTTTCATGAAAAATTATCTCGCAATTCTGAGATAATTAACTCGTTAATTCAGAAAAACAGTAGATTTTGTTTCCTCAAGTGGATGCAACTATAAATGTGTATTCTGTTGAGAAGAGGATAAATGAAGCGTATAAGTAATGTGATATTTACTCTTTTCATTCGCAGTCTGTCTGGTATCAGGAAAGCATAAAGCTCGTCCATCAAGAAGTAGACAACCAGAATAAGTAGCAAACACCTGGAGCACGTCATCTGAGGGTACAACATCACACCAAATATTATATTTACGAAAATTGTTTAGAAATATTTGCTTGAATGATAAACTGTTCACAGTCAACACAATCAGCTGATTGGATTAGGACAAAATTCAGAATTGAATTAAAGTATATTGTGTTTCTGATATTTACCTTCTTGGTGAATTTGTCTGTCCTTGAGAAGGTTCTTCAGGGGTTGTTTGACAATCTTGCTCTGTCCGGTCTTGTCTGTGTATGTTGCCTTGCCGTCCTCTTTGTCAAGGGCATGTGTGTTTTGGGTATTTGTAGACCTGAAGCTGGGGTGGGTTTATATAGGATGACCAGGAGATGGATAAAGGGAGTCGGTGTGTCTAGCATGACTTCACCCACCCTCCAAAAAGATTAGAACATGATAAAAGCATCATTTTGGTTGTTGTTAAAATGTTAGTTCAAATTCAGGTTAACAAGTTGACAAGACAATATCTACTTCGAGGGCACCCAGAGAATATTGTAAGACACTTAAAAGTCAGTATTTTATAATGACATGTTTGGGATATTCTTATGTTTCATATATGAACAATACATAAACCATTGATTAAAATGGATATACATAATTACATTTCTGCACTGATTTTCAAATTCTGATTGTCAAAGAAAACTATCAGGCACTTCACATTACCTTTTAGAGGTTCCAATCATGGCATAAGTTTTTTCATTAATTAATTAATTAATAAAGTTTTGATTCATTTCTAAGAAAATAAATTGCAATAATCAATAGAAATAACCCATTAAACATGCAGCATTATTCACTCATTTAACACATTTCTCCATTGAACCTACTGGGCATAAAGGGTTCTTCAAAACTGATTCAAGAACTGTAGTGTAGGGTTCAATGTTATGAGCAAAAACTGACAAATTTCTGATATTAAAAATCTACCATATATTCTTGAAATGAATTAATGATATGCTACAAGTGAATTTAGGCAAAGTGGACATTACTTTTGAGATTTATTTATTATAGTGTTTTTAAAGAATTGTATTTGTCAATTTAAAATTTCACGTTTTTAATTGAAATTTTTAAGAGTGTTAAATGAGTAAATGTAATCCAAAGATACAAATGTGAAAAACTAACATATACAGTTAAACATGTCAACCTATATAAAATGAATCTCTAATATCCGCTAATAATTGTTATGGCTCTGATATTATACATCTCTAGTAATTTTATGAGACAACATGCATCCCATGTGCATTTTAGCTAGTTGAAATTCAAACAAATTCAACGTCATTTGGAGACTCTGTGTGTGGCCTGTTCAGGTATCAGATAATCTTGTCTCGCCCAATTTCAGTTTCAAAACACTGGATTCTCATCCACGTACACCGGTCTCTGTCTCATTAGGGATGGTCGTAGTATTAACAGAGGAAACACACACACACACACACACACACACACACACACAGAGAGAGAAGCAAGTAGAAAAAAAGGAGGAAAGGCCTCTGTGGATGGCCTACCAGCAGTCCGACACGTTTTCTCTTTTCCTCTTTTCCCTCCCTATCCTAATTATTGCTATTTCGGGCAACTGGGGCCACCAGACATAGACTAGCTGTTGACAGACAACCAATGGTGAAAATAAACTACCTTTACTAAACAGGGCCGCTGCAATCCGCCAAGATGTCTGTCAACAGAGACTGGGAACAAATTGGTGCCACTGATTACTCTAATTAGTGTAAAATGAGTGTGTGTGCTCATTTTTGACAATCCCGCCTTCTCGTTTCTCCCCTATAAGTACCTAGAGTTCCAAATTTAGAACAATAACATTTCAAGAGTCCAGTGCCAGCACCAATATAAGTGTTTTTGTGAAAATTATTTGCAGAATCAATTTTTTTTTTACTATGTATGTTATTTTAGGCTGCGTATTTTAACATTTATTGTAGACGAAAAAACGTTCAGAGGATAGAATCAGTTGTTCATTTTCGGCACTTCATTTGTTTATTCAGTAAAATCTTGAGAAATATGCAGAGTGCATATTGCACTACTCTGATTTCATCCAAGGTATGGATCAGTTTTTTTCTACATTGCTGCTCACTACATTTGCAATTCATTACTGAAAATATATTTGTCTGGTTTACAGCCTGCTCTCAGGTTTGTCTTATGGATGTTGAGTAGGTGAAAAGTGCATGCTCTTTTTTTTTTTTTTTTTTTTTTTTTAGTGACTACTGTGTACATGCAGTCTAGTTATTACAAAACAAAATGCAGAACATTAAACCAAACATTCAATTTAAACCACAGACATGACTGGGCATAACAGGAGAACATGATTGAAGATTTGGAGCAGCAGTTCTTTGTAATGCTTTGATAGACAATGTTTATCTCTGTAGTATTTTTTGGTGAGTGTCTGTTTTTTTTTTAATCTTTACATTGCTTTTAAATGTTTCCAACATTGTTCTTATTTGTAAGTGCAGTTTGTACAAAAATGTGCATGATTCTTTATTATCAAATGTCAACTGGTTAAAAAAAGTAATTTAAGGTGGTACTATAACAAAAATATTCTTGTAACAAACATATGACATTATCGCATTGTGCTTAATTGTCTTGAATTCTTCTGTCAACAAGCAAAAATAAATATATTTTCCAAAACATACTTTTTGATAAACAATTTTTTGCTAAATATAATTGATTATTTTTTATAATTTGTTATGTTTATAAGTTGTTATTAATGTTTTTTATTTTTTGTATTGTTTTACAGTGAACTGTGTCTGGCATACTTTTGAGTCTTGACATTCACATATACAAATTCACAGACATTTCTTTTATAAATGATGGGTCTGTGATGATGATTAAAAACAGCCAGTAATCATTGTCAGAATGGATGAGATATGATATTTCACAGAATCTGCTCAGTTGTGCCTCCTATTGGGGAAGATAACGTGGTAAAGTAAATGTTTGTGATTAAAACTTCAAGTGTCTCCGACTTGCCATCAGGATCAGAGGATTTGCCATGTTTGACCAATAACACATGTTTTGTTTCGTGAACAATTATAGTTTTCATTTATAAGACATGAAAAGCTTTTACTCAAAAGACCTTTAATCTAAAAACCAAGACAAGGTCATGGTATGAGTGTTGCATCTCATTTCGGAGCAGATTGGAGGTGTTGCAGATGGTGGTTTATTAATGTATTTAGGTGTTATATGGTTTTAACGCGTGGGTCTGACAGGAAATATTCAGACTGCGCATTTGTTTAAACCCTCTATGTGGGGTATGAATCGATATACAAGAACAATTAAAAAAAAAATTCTTCCCATTTCTTTGTCGTTTCTTGAACACTGCAATAAGCACATAAAATGTCCTCTTTTTCTTTTAAAAGTTAATATAGTTGCTTAATAGAAATCTCGTGGTTTTCTCAGGTTTCTAATCGAATGCGTCATGAAAAGGGGAGGAGCCTGATTCATAGAGAAAGCTTCATGTTTGGGCGTAGTGTAAAAACGATACAAACAGTCTTTTTATTTTTTAGCAAAAGTGTATAGCGAAAGTGAAGGAAATTATCTAAAACTCTATTTTTCATAAATCCAAATAATCACTGCGACAAGAATAACTACTCAGTGGAGATTTTTTTTCCCCCTAAGGTTTATTTGAGGAGTTTCGAGCCTGCCTCAAGAGCAGGAGCTGAGATGTAAGTGAGAGTTTTTATGGTGGATTAACGTATATATTTAACGTTATATATACATATTTTAATTAATTTTTTTAACCTTTTTGAAGCCTCGGCTCTACAGCGTATGACACCTTTACGTTTTAAATGAAATCCTTTTGGGGTATTTTTGTTCGCTAAATTGTTAATTGGCGATATAATTTACATTTATAATAAATGATCTTAATTCATTTTGATTAAATAGTATCTTTTTCTAGAGCCATTTAAGGATTTTGGATCAGTTTCTACATTTCGTTTCCTTTTTCGTTTTCTTTTGTGAGGAAACAGTGTAGGCTTGACTCATACGATAATATAATATCACACCCACCTCGCGTTGACGTCATAGTTGTATTGCTTCAGTGTGTTTTTCGCCATCTAACAAAAAAAAAAAAAAAAAAAAAAAGAAAAGCTAAACACTATAGTTATGGTTAAATGTTTGGAACGAATCTTGCCCACGAATTTCCTTTAAGATCCGGTTAGGCTTTCGTATTTCCTCATGTAAACCTGGGGCTTTTCATTTTAAGTTGAGCTTCTGTTCTTTTGGACCTGTTTTGCTTGTTTCCAGCGATTGTATTGCTCACAACACAACTTCCCTACATTTTCTTCGCCATTAGTAATCGTGGTGCTGATATACAGGCGTTGCCTCTGCAAATCGCACATCTGCATTCAACATGTCTGGACCAGGTAATGACAATAATCTGTTTGTATTTTCCTTGCAATTCAACAGCATGTTTGTAGATTTGTAGTTAGGAAACAGGAAATGCAGCAGACATGATTTAAACAACCAGTGAGTTTTGCAATAGCTGCCCCACAGTAGTACCCACCTGCTCAACTCATTCGTTGTCAATCATTGTGCTGAAAACTGTCCACACTGTCTATTTACATTTTTCCTGTCAAGTGTGATTTGTGCTGTTTCAGTGAAGCTGTGAAACTGAAGGTGAAAACATTTTCTTTAGAGGTCAGTGGGAAAGGAATGCAGGAAGTGTAGCCCTACAAAAGTGGCTGTGTTCCACATTTATAAGTTTCCACTGATTATAGGGAATGTGGGGGATGTCTGTTACACCAGGAACTGGCTGTGGCTTTAGTTTTACCTTAAACATGTTTGTCTGATCATACAAAACTGATATCTGTAAATATGTGGTCTCTTCGGTGCCTTTTGGCCAAAATGTTGAAGATCAAACTCAGTTTTTAAAATAAATGTATGTGTAGTGTAGTCATGATAAGGTGATCTAAAATCAGTCAATGCACAATGTATGAGCAAGAACAAGCCAACATACTGTAGGTGTATCAAATAAAAAAACTGCATGGTCTTTAAAACTGTAAAAATGTTAAAAATGTGATTTTCAACAACAACACAAAATCATATTTCCCTTAACATTCTGCCAGTGCTGAGGTTGGCCACATCAAATTTGAAAGATAAATCGGTAAATAGAGTGTTAAAATAATCAAGGATCTCACTCACTTGCCCAAGATGTTATCCCTTTAAAGAAGTGATTTATGATATGATGTAATTACATTTTTTAAATTTCACTTAAAGGGAAAAGTAAAAAATAACAGGGTGGAGAATAAAATGAGGGACAAGCTAAAGACAGATTTAGAGATTGTAATTATTAAAATACATTTAATAAATGGTAAAATAATATACATTAAGGACAAGCTAAAGACAGATTTAGAGATTGTAATTATTAAAATACATTTAATAAATGGTAAAATAATATAAATTAAAGAGAATCATTACTGATACTCAAACAACAAAGAAAAATGGTGATATGTGGTGGTTCAAAATGCTGTAAAATCTTCTTTTTTAACAACATCAATATGCTTAGAGTTCAATTTGTGTTATTTATGACTAAGACTTTCAAATTTCAAATTGATATTGTTCATTATTTTAAGGCAGTAAGATCATGTTCTGTACGGGGCAAAGAAAATGCATTGAATCTCGGAAATGACTCTATCATGAGAGTAAATGTATCATGCACTTAATTCAGAGCAGATGATCGTGTTCTATCTTTCTTACTAAAAAAATATTCCAAGTCCCATCTACACCGGACTGTATTTTCCTGCTAAATCGGCAGTCAAGTGATTCCTTAACCCCATTAGGTGTCGTTCTTTGGAGCAACTGTGTTCTTAACAAGCTGGGGAATTCGTCAAGCATACTGACACTATTTAGTCCATGTTAAGAAAGTGGATCTTTCTGTTGCTAAAGAGCTTGCCTCATCCATTGTCCTGGTGAATTACTCAAGTCATGAAATGTTTATTTAAGTAGCACTGAAAACAGGAATGGCAAGAAGGGAGTGTTTAAAAAAATACAATCACAAAACATGTGGTGTCAATGTCTTGTAAATGTCAATGGTTTGATCAGGGATGGCCAAGGATTGTGCTGTCATAGTACTATGCAGGAAGTCTGTTTTGAGGAGTGAGTTGGGGGAGGGTTGTAGCAGTGCCATAGAAGAACTGTTCATAATGGAACCATCGACGCCAATGAAGAACTTTTTATTTTTAAGAGTGTACGCAAATTTACTTTCTCTTCAAATTTACTTAGGGGATGTCTGAAGGCAATTTATTGAGCTAGTCTGAATAATAAATTACTTGAGAGTTTTTCCCCCCAGCACTTAACGTAATGCTTTGGGCAATGGATGTGATTTATGAACGGGAAGATAGCATGATGGAAGCAGGTTGCAATTCTATGTGGCAGGTCTTGAGAATCTAATTAGTAACGATTGAGGGCTTAGATTAAATGTGAGCTCAGCTGGTCTGCCAGACGACCCTGAAAGCGCCCCTGCCATTTATCTGTAAGCTTCATAACTTCAGCAACAAGCAATGTGTCATGAATGTTGTCCAACACATTGGTACAATTTCTAACCATTACTGGTTCAACAATCTCTTAATTCAGCGATTCCACTGTGTGAGTGGTCAGGAATTGTTGGGCAAACTACTCTTTCTCAACCTTAAAGGACAAGTTCGGTATTTTACACTTAAAGCCTGGTTTTAAGATCGTTTCTGATGAAATAGAATGGAATTAAGATTGAAATTGGGACACATGCTGCTGGCCCGAGAATTGTCGGTTTCTGTGGTATATTAAAGGAAATATAATAATTTGTGCTATCTGGTTGACAGGGAGGTCTGATTTTCTTATGGGGTTCTTTGATGCTGGTGTTCAAAAGTATGCTATAACTTATTCTCAAAATTTATATTATATAATTTGAGATTGTAATACTTTTGCATGCAACCTGTATTACTAACTCAGAGAAACTGAGCCTTCAAAACAAACAAACAAACAAACATCAGAAAAGGTACTTTGTTTATTAGATGCTTTGCCATGGGGGTCTCCCTTTATTATAAATGATAACGTTTTAAGGGTTGCAATTTGAGGTAATGATTAATTATATATATTTTTTTAAATAAAGTTTGTTATGCAGAAATTACATATTTGTCCTAATTGCTGGCACTCAGTTAATGCTCATTTTCATCTACTTTATATGTCTGAAAAAACATAGTGTGGTTGTTGTCAATATTGTTACAATGAATCATTCATGGCCCTTTTTGTTTTTGGTGGCTATTTTTGTTTTGTTTTTTTTTTCCATTGGAATGCCTCACATGTACACTGCAGTCTAAAATAGATCCAGTCCACAGAACATGGGAGGCCTGCATTAACCATCCCTAATCATACAGGAATTACCAGCATACATGCATAATTCTGTGTGTCTGTATTTATTTATTGATTGAAAGAGAATAAATCAGTCAGTTGTTCTATTCATTTTACAATCCACTGCATACCAACTCCGATCCCAGTGATTAGGCATAGTGTTGGGATTTTCACTGACAGCTTGAATACAGGCTGAAACATAACATACATTCCAAGTCTTCAGGACTTTCTACAGCATTTTAGGGTCTGTTTATGATTTAAGACTAAAAAGATGCTGACTTATGCAAAGTAACAAAGTACAGGTGGGAGTAAATCAACAACAGAGTAGCTCAAAGACTACAATATAGGGCTGTCAAATGATTAATCGCGTTTAATCACATCCAGAATAAAAGTTTGTGTTTACATAATATATGTGGGTGCAGTGTGTATAATTATTGTATATATATATATATATATATATATATAAACACACATGCTTGTATATATTAAAGAAATATTTCATGTATATACTGTATATAGATTTATATATAATTTATATTATATTATATATAAATATAAGTATTTTATATGTAAATAATATTTTTTTGTTAAATATACATGCATGTGTGTGTATTTATATAAAATAATTATACACAGTGCACCCACATATAATATGTAAACACAAACTTTTATTTTGGATGTGCTTAATCGCAATTAATCGTTTGACAGCCCTACTACAATATGTGTAGAGTTTCTGACTTCAAGCCATACAAGCACTAAACCAACATCTCCTCAAAAACATCCCTATTTATGACATAACACGGCACAAATCTAGCAGACTTGCATGTACCAAATGTGTGATTTAAATAAACAACTAAATAAAAGCCAAGACCAGATACTGTACCTTATAATTTAAACTTTGTTCCCCCCTGATTTTTACATCATTGCTTAATATTTCTTTTCATAGTAAAGCTAAATAAGCATTATTCTAACATTATGGTTTTCTCTTTGCATTTGAAATTGTGTTAAATCAGGCTACCCATCTCCAAACCAGCCTCCGTATCCCATGGCCCAGGCAGGTGGACACTCCATGCCCCCCTATCCCGTTGGAGGTTATGGAGATCCAGGATATGTGCCCCCACCTGCAGGGTTTCAAGTAGGGTACCAGCCAGTTCCAGATCAGCCAGTTATGTATCAGCCTGGTCCAGTTGGTCCAGTTAGTCCAGCATCGCACCAGGGCCAGCCGTATGGAGGTAAGCATGTCTAATTTATACTTAAACAAATGCGTTTTTAAAAAAAACGGTGGTAGGTTAAAGGTTAATTTGTATACTATTATCCTATTAAATATGCATTATATATTAGTATACTATGTATATATATATATATATATATATATATATTACATTACTATTAAAAAAAAAAATATATATATATATATATATATACATACAGGATATACATACTACTATAATATATCTTAAGCACTTAAAAAGCTATTATTTACAAATCATTGCTGAAATAATTTTAATAGTATGGATTCATTGAAAATGTGCTGTTTTTCTAATATCCACACATTCTATTGAACTTTAATCCTATGAAGACAATGCAAAGCATTTTGTGCATTATGCAAGCTGACTAATTGTGATGTGCCTTTATCAACCTTCTCTAGCACCTGTAGCTGCACCAGTGACAGTGCCTGCTGGAGTACCACCTGGTCTGGAGTACCTCACTCAGGTAGGTGTATTATAGTCATGTCGGAAAGATAGTATTTATGAGTTGAACTCCCCTGAATGCCACCATAATGTCATAGTTCTGAGAAGGAATCTTGGGATTTTATTCTCTGTGCCAAGAGTTTCTAAGTTGGGAGGCGTATCTGTGTGAGTGCAATAGATGCTGCATCTCTAGTTGATGATAAATTATTGAAATGTATGAAATTACTATTATTTTATTTATAATAAAATGTGCTGTACAAAAAAATATGATACTATTATATTACACATATGATGCCTTCAAAAATTGAATAACAACACAAAACAAACCTGATGAGCATTCATTATTTATCTTTTTATAAAAGGGGAGTTGGAAAAAGGAAAGGTACATCGCCATCTTTCTTGTTTCTTGTTACTAGTATATTCTTTGCATTTCAGATTGACCAGATCCTTATTCATCAGAAAGTGGAGTTGTTAGAGGGTAAGTCTTTTTGTTTATTATGTACAGTGTTGTGCCTGAACGCGTTCATATTTTGGGCGAAAGTGAACTGAACGTACTGTATTACTGCCAGATGAACTTTACTGTCAACTCGTTCATTCTGGTGTCTGTGAACGCACGCTGTCTCAGTTTAACTTCGTACAATACACCTTATTCATGGCAGCGCCATCTTTGTTTTTTTAATGAGAATGAAAGCGAGGCTGTGAGGGATAGACATGCATCTCTTCAATGGGCTGTACTATTATTTAATGTGTTTTCGTTTTGTTGTGCTCATGAAACACTGGAAAAATATCTTTCCAAGAAATTTTAGTTGACAAAAAACTCCCGACAATATAAGCTGTGGAAAATTGTAAGTAATCTAGGAGCTTTATTCAGCTTTTTACAGCGGATGCCATTGAAAACACAGTGGGTCTATCCCTCACAGCCTCACTTTCATACCTGTCATGGCGCTGCTCTGAATAAGGTCTATAGGGCGCCAGATTTCTATAGAGCCTGTAAACAGGCCTTAATATGTTGCAAAAAAAACATCCAATCTGGCAACACAAGCCACCAGTGTCGAGGAGGCGTCGTATGATCATTTAAATGGTTTTTATGACGGTGGGAAAAATCTTACATTTCTGTGCAAACTTGCCCGTCGAAAAAATAATTGTTGTCTGTGGTTGTATATGGACAGTGGCATTAATTAAAAACAAAAAAACAAAAAAGAAGCTTGCAACATATGGGGAAAAAAAAGAATTATGAACTATGAACTGAACTAGTTTATTTTAAAATGTGTGGTCTGAACTTCGAACTAGTTCATGTAGAAAGTGAACTTTCCCAACACTGTATATGTAGTTGAAACGGGTTTACTATATTTCATTAAAGCACACGCTACCCGTTTCTATTTTTTAAGCCTGAGACAATTGTAGTCACTGTTGCTTTTTTGTTACACTGTACACTTGTTTTAATTCATAGTTTAATTGTAAAAAAAGCCTTCAACTTCTCTGCATACTTTTTGGTCCTCTACAGCATTCCTTGGCTTTGAGACCAACAACCAGTATGAGATCAAGAACAGCCTAGGTCAAAAGATCTTCTCTGCCAAAGAAAAAAATGACTGCTGCACACGCAACTGCTGTGGTGCCCTGCGCAGCTTTGACATGAAGATCAAAGACAACACTGACCGAGAGGTCATACGACTCATCCGACCTTACCGTTGTGTCTCCTGTTGGTGCCCCTGCTGCCTGCAAGAGGTATGGCTAGCAGACAAGTCATATCAAAGCTAATGTAAGGTTAACCCTACATTGCATAAAGTGGGTGTGTTGAATTATGACTATTTTTGGATAAATGTTTTGTCAATAATAATGTAAGGGAAGTTACAGTTAAGCAACATAAAGACCAGCATGCTCAATGAAGAACAGGAGTCTAAGTTGAAGTTCAGTCATTGAGTTGACTGAGGACAAAGTTTTCCACACTTGCAGAGGTCATAGGAAATGAGTAAGAGGACCCAGCCTAGAACTTGCTTAAGATACAGAAAAACTAGTACTTACAGCTGTAGTTCCCAAAGTGGGTGTCTTGACAACTATTTACATATACAGTATATATAGATATATATATACAAATATTTACATATTTGATAATGCATCTGCCTGCGTATGCAGTACCTTTGTCCATATTTTCAAATAGTTTCTGCCGGTAAAATCAGACGATTTGTTCCAATTTGGCGGTTTGAAAGGGTGGGATCTAGTGCTTGTAGTCTTTACAGAAATCCCCCTCTCTTACACTTTTTCCTACAATGACGGAAAATGACGATTTTTGCGTCATCGTGGGAGGAAGTGAAAATGGTAAATAGCGGATTTCTCTCGTCTCGGGTAAATGAGAGAGTGTTGACTCCCCCCATTCAATAGTATGACTGGGTTTCTAACAATGGAAAGCTTAATGCAAATGGGTGGAGTGTCCCTTTAAAGAACCTTACTGGCACACACAGCTATTAGCTTAAAAATCTATTTGGGTATTGCTATACATTTATCATTTGTTATGTTTGTACTGTCTGTAAATAACAATGTCTTCTTTTGAATATGTCACCTTCAGATGGAGGTACAGGCCCCCCCTGGAACGACCATAGGGTATGTGAAGCAGGACTGGCACCCCTGTTATCCAAGATTCTCCATCCAGGGGCCCAACAAGGAGACTGTGATGAAGCTCGAGGGACCCTGCTTGGCATGTAACTGCTGTGGTGATGTGAACTTCGAGGTAGCTATTTAGAATTGCTTTGAAATTGAAATTCAAAGGCAGACGTTATTAGGACACCAAGCAAAATCTTGCAAATCAAGCAAAAGCTGGTGGGTTCTCACCATAAAGTCTTATTTCTTTCTTTAGCTCAAAGGCAAAGACGGTAGCGGGAAGCCTATCGGTCGAATCAGTAAGCAGTGGAGCGGCCTGTTAAAGGAAGTCTTCACTGACACTGACAACTTTGGCATTCAGTTCCCTCTGGACATGGATGTTAAGATGAAGGCTGTACTTTTGGGCACTTGCTTCCTTATTGTGAGTATTAAAGTATTCAATTATTTGAGTATTAAACAACACATTTAATGATCCACACATTAGATGGTAGTCTGAAGTGCTTGGTAATGCCGTAGAGGGCGTTCTAGTAAGTACAAGAGCACAGATCCTTTACCATTATGCAACTACGATCAATATACAAATATAAAATAGAAATCACATGGACTAGAACACATTCTTCCCCACTGGATATCTGTTCTGACTCTTTGATTTTGCTCTCTTTTTCTTTTCATAGGATTTCATGTTCTTTGAAAAAGTTGGAGACACAAACCAGCGCAATACTGTGTTCTCTTAGAGCTCCTGAAAAGTTACTTATAAAGGAACATATTTTCAACTAACTCTCATCACTTCGCAAACATTTAAGGTATTTTTTAAACTGATGAAATTCCCATAGTCTGTGGATGGCCTCTAAGTCTGGACTTCCTTTATTTCCTGTGTTTTCTTAAGTAACCAAACTTTATAGAAAGCTGCCACTGCAGTGAACCCGAAGGACATGTTCATGGTCATTTTTTAATGTTCACATGACTAGCAATATTTGTAATGACAGCTGAGGTATCATGAGTAGCTGTTCACTGGTGCCTTTAAAACAGTCATTGAGTAAATCACTGAACAAATTACTGTTACAGCACACGCAGCTAACATTTGTATGTTTTGTTAACTTTTTTCTTAGAAATAAAAAACCATATGCATGTTTTTTTCTTTTTCTCATACATAAGGTATATTTTTCTGTCTTTTAGAAGGAAATTCACTTTTATTGTGTTAAATGCAAAGCATTTTTGTAATTGCACACAAATGTTCCTACACATACAAATAGTGTATATGTAGTGGGCAGTACAACTAGCAAGTTACTGACTTGAGGAAAAAAAACAAGTTTTTGCATGGTTTTAAAACTGGTAAAAAGCAAAATTGTATTGACTATTAGGGGTTTTTTTTCAGTGTGTGAAGAAATAGTGTCCTACAGGAGGCGCTTGGAAAGCCAGCCTCCTATTGAACCGCTCTCAAATCTTAGGATGGTCTTAAATATTAAATGTTTGCCAATGAAATAAATGAGTAGCATGAAATAGAAATTACAATTCAGGAAATTATTCTAAAAACTATGAGTCAGTTTTATGTCGTTACGTAATATATGGCAATGTTCTTGTCCTGGTTTTCTATATATTGACTGGCCTTCTATCAATATGGGAATATATCAAATATAGATAACAAGATAAAAAATATGCAGAGTTTGGAGTGTTAACACTTTTTGTTTAACGTCTGTGTTTTGGTCACTATTTTGCTTAAACTTTGATTTTTTTTTTCTCTCACATTATACACTGCAAATTAGAGTTGATCTCTAAAGTAAGTAGGCTACCAGTTACATTGTAACAATAATAGTAAGACATCAGTTTAAAAATGTTGTACACAAATGTTGTCTGTTTTTCTATGATTAACATAGAAAATGTATAAATCACAAATTTTCTATGTTAATCATATTTACCAGCACGGTAGCTAATTACTAATTGTTTCAACTGACAGTTACAAAACTCCCTGGTCTACCCATCAATAATCCATGTACATGTGTGTCTTTGTGTCTATGTGTTTATATTAATTTCTATATTGTACAATATTAGTGTAACATTATACATAATAAACATATACAATTATGTTGGTGATTTGTGATGTTTTTTTTTTTGACTGGATCTAGGAAAAGTTTCAAAACAGGCATATTGTTGCACTGTAAAAAAAAAGATTAACTTCAACACTGCTTTAGTGTCACTTTAACATTCTGTAGTGTGACATTCTGTATTCTGTAACACACTGAGCAATGTTCATTTACACTGAGGATTTTTATGGGGTTAAGATAAAAAAAAGACATAATAATCTGATTTTTAATCTGCATTACAGATTTAATAATCTGTAAATTCAGTTTATGGATCTATATAAAAAAAAAATTAAATAAAAAAAAAAAAATTTAAAAAGAGAAAAGTACTGTTGAATAAAAAAAGATAATCTGTTAAATTATTTCCAGAAAATACATACAATAAATTGCACATACTAGAATAGTTTAACTCAATAGAGGAACAATTTTGAAAGTTAATGTTTATTGAATTATTGAATAGAAGCACTCAAAAAAAATGAATGAGGAAGGTTGTGCACTTTACATAATATATTTACATATTTTAATTGTTTGAATGAGCATGTTAATTTTAGCAATCAAGATGCTAGTACTGCTAGCAAATAGCTGGCTATTGTCTATCAATTTAATTATGTGTCACTCAAATAAATGAAATATTATTGGATGAATGAATATAACAAATACCTGAATCATGCCAGGAAGCCTTTAAAAAAATCACTTTGAGACTACTTTAATAGGGTCGCTTAAAATGGCTTAATTCCATTATGTTGAAGTTACATCAACAAATTATGTTGGTTTAACATAAACCAATTATGTGGAACCAGTTGACGAAAAAAATGTATAAACATATAATAACATATAATGTTTTTTGAGTGTAACATTTCCTTTTAGGTAATGCTTCGTTCCTCATTTTGTTTTTTAAAGTATTGTAAAATTGTAAATTTTAGTTATTTTAGCTTTGGCTGACATCTGAAGTTCTTTATTTAGAGACATGGGTTATGCATGCAAAAAATGTTGTTGCACTGTCTATCCTGTAGTCATTGTGTGCACACAAAGACTACAGGATAGACAGTGCAACAACATTTTTTGATGTCAACAAGATGCTCTTGTTTTTGTACAACCAGTTTACCTTTATCAGTCGATCTCAACCTGATTGTTCACAAATATCTTTACACTACAAAAAATATTTTAGTGCTTGCCTTAACTAGATTATTATTATTCTATCACTAACCTACATTACAACTGCGTTCCCAGGTTCACATTTTAAAGGATTAACCAAAAAAACAACAACAACAAAAAAGTATAATCAGATAAATCATTTAGTAGGTTTTTTTTTTTTTTTTTGTAGATTTGTAACAAATAGATAGATCTATTTTGATCAAAATCAGATGCCAAATTCAGATTAGATCAACACTTTGTGTTAAATTACATAATAAATTACATGAGTGAATAATGGAAGTCTGATCTGAAGTTAATAACACTTTAGATTAATACCTAATTTAGATTATTTAATTAAGTTTGTGGTGCTTTGTATATTATGCATGCTAAAATCTCTTATCTCACATTTTACCTGCTAAGACTGGTAATGTGAGGCATGAGGGTAATGGGATTAAAAAGGAATCTTGCACCCTTCTCAGGTTGTTAATTTGAATATGTAAGAAAAGGGGAGGGGATACTATAAAAACAGAAAGTGCAAGTGCATATAGGCCACAAACATTTGTCTTTTATCTGCGCTAAACGGTGGGAAATCACGAAATATTATTAATTCTTTTATCCTAACAATCATTCCAACACCAAGGAACTTCTTTTTTCTTGCGAGCATCCTAAGAGGTAAGACCTTGTGCAGAGTTTTAATAGATAAGTGATTATTTACCATTGGTCTTTGTAGTTGTTGGAAATCTGGTTCTGCCTTCATTTGGACACAATTTTGTGTAAAAATGTATTTTATTTTTCCTCCATCACCACAGAGGTTGTGCTGCTTCTATGACAAAAGGTGATTGTGCAGTCCAACAGACTTGTCTTCAAAATGTCAGAACCAGGTACTGATGTTTTGTACCTTTTAAATAATAATTGTAACACTTTACAAAAAGGTCTCATTTGTTAACATTAGTCACTGCATTAAGTAACGTGAACTAACTAAGGATCATTGTTTTTAACTGTTATTAACCTTTCTTAATGTAAGTTATTAAAAACGTCCACGTTTATGTTAGTTCACATCAATTAAATGTTAACAGATACAACTTTTGATCTTAAAAATGCATTAGATTAAGACTAATAAATGCATTGTTCATTGTTAGTTTAACTAATGTGATTAACTAATTTTAACAAATAAAACCTTTTTTTAAAGTGTTATCATAATAATAATAATAATGTCTTTATTTAGTTAGCACTTACTTTAAGTGAATTGTCTTCTTTGAATTACATGTTATCAGTCTAAACTGGTGGCAGGTATGAAATGCACATTAACAAGTTTCGGCACATTCTATGGAATACAACGTGCTTTTGTGTTTTTGCTTTGTCTGTCAACTGTGAGTGGCTTCTACTTTCTTTTTTCTCTGCTGTATATGTCCCTGAATATAGTTATGCTATCACTTTCTGACCATCAAGTTCAATATCCTAAAACCAGCCCATTTGACAGCTTTGTTTGATGAACTGTCCAAAGTGGTTATTCACTGAACATCTCACCACCCACTGTAGCTGGCCTCAAATCCCATTCTCACTCCGATTCAGTTTTGGTGTGTAATGATGGATGTCTGTGATCTGAAACTCAGAAGATGTCTTGTCATCCTAACCTAGGCTGTCCACCCCAAAATGACCATCCAAATCCCATACCTCAGCCTGAAGGTCCTACACTGGCTCCTCCTGCAGAGTTCCAGTCAGTGGACCAACCAGATCTAAGCAATCCAGCACCTCACCAGGTTCAGCCATATACAGGTAAACATAGAATAAATGTATAACTGAGTGTTATTATTGTCTCAAACTTGGCTCTCCAGTCTAAAAGAGTCTTCCAAATCTCTTCACTGCAGGTCATGTATCGGCCCCTGAACCTGCAGAGCTCCAGCCAATGAACCAACCAGATCTAAGCAATCCAGCACCTCACCAGTTTCAGCCATATACAGGTAAACATAGAATAAATGTATAACTTAGTGCTATTATTGTCTTAAACGTGGCTCTCCAGTCTAAAACAGTCTTCAAAATCTCTTCACTGAAGGTCCTGCACCGGCTCCTGAACCTGCAGAGCTCCAGCCAGTGAACCAACCAGCTCCAGGTAACCCAGTCATAAATCCAGCACCTCACCATTGTCAGCCATATGCAGGTAAACATAGAATAAATGTATAACTGAGTGTTACATTGAGATGTGCAAATGTTCAACTTAAACAAAGGCTCCACTTTCCTTAAACAATAAAAGTTAATATTTTCAAATGGAGGCCTACTTATTTGTCTCTTTATTGTCTGTTCATTCAATGATCCAGAACACAGAAGCACATCAATACAAATAGTGGCACACACATTTTTTTTTTTTTTTTTGATTATTGTCTCAAACTTGACTCTCCTGCTCAAAACAATCTTCCAAATCTCATGCCTGAAGGTCCTACACCGGCTCCTCCTGCAGAGTTCCAGTCAGTGGACCAACCAGATCTAAGCAATCCAGCACCTCACCATGGTCAGCCATATAAAGGTAAACATAGAATAAATGTGTAAATGAGTGTCATTATTGTCTCAAACTTGGCTCTCCAGCTCAAAGAAATCTTTCAAATCTCATGCCTCATGGTCCTGCACCGGTTCCTCCTGCAGAGACCCAGCCAGTGAATCATTCAGCTCCAGCACAGCAGGTCATGTATCTAATCGACCTAAGGAATCCAGCATCTCACCACGGTCAGCCAAATGCAGGTAAACATAGAATAAATGTGTAACTGAGTGTTATTATTGTCTCAAACTTGGCTCTCCAGTTGAAAACAATCTTCCAAATCTCATGCCTCATGCTCCTGCACCGGCTCCTCCTGCAGAGCTCCAGCCAGTGAACCAACCAATTCCAGTTCAGCTGGTCATGAATCCGCCTGGTCCAAGCAATCCAGCACCTCACCATGGTCAGCCATATGCAGGTAAACAGAATAAATGTGTAAATGAGTCTTATTATTGTCTCAAACTTGGCTCTCCAGTCTAAAACAGTCTTCCAAATCTCCTGCGCCAGTTCCCCCTGCAGTGCTCCAGCCAGTGAACCAACCAGCTCCAGGTCAGCTGGTCATGTATCTAACTGATCAAAGCAATCCAGCACCTCACCATGGTCAGCCAAATGCAGGTAAACATAGAATAAATGTGTAACCGAGTGTTATTATTGTCTCAAACTTAGCTCTCCAGCTCAAAACAATCTTTCAAATCTCTTGCCTCATGGTCCGGCACTGGCTCCTTGGGTCGAGCCAGTGAATCAACCAGCTCCAGGTCAGCTGGTCATGTATATAACTGATCAAAGCAATCCAGCACCTCACCAGGTTCAGCCATATAAAGGTAAACAGAATAAATGTATAACTGAGTGCTATTATTGTCTTAAACTTGGCTCTCCAGTCTAAAACAGTCTTCTCTTGCCTGAAGGTCCTGCACCGGCTCCTCCTGCAGGGGTCCAGCCAGTGAACCAACCAGCTCCAGGTCAGCTGGTCATGAATCCGCCTGGTCCAAGCAATCCAGCACCTCACCAGGTTCAGCCATATGCTGGTAAACAGAATAAATATAGGCGTGTGATGAAATATTTAGATAAGCCATAAGGAAATTGTGTGTGGAATGGATGTGTTAATGCTGTGAAGATAATGCAAAATAAATATCCTCATAAATATCTCTAGCACCTGCAGTTCCACCGCTGGCTATACCTTTTGGAGTCCCACCTGGTCTCGAGTACCTCATTCAGGTGGGCCTTTCTCTCTCGTTCTATCAATACATTTGTCTTAAAGTGTGATGCCTGGCTACTTCCTGTTTTGTTTTGTTTTTTGTGCATTTCAGATAGACCAGATCCTTATCCATCAAAAAGTATCGTGTGTAGAGAGTGAGTCTTCTCCGAGCCATGTTCAAGTTTCTTGTTTAATCATAGAGCTCTGCCAATGTTTAAAAGCATTTTTGTCCTCACCTTGATCATTTCTGATATTGCATACTTTTACCTGTGCCATATTTAGGGGATAGTTCACCCAAAAAGGTTGTCATCATTTACTCACCGTCATCTTGTTCAAAGCCTGTATGAGTTTCTTTCTTATGCTGAACTCAAGAAAATGTATTTTGTGGGTAACCAGACAATAGCTTGTTTTCACGTGACGTCACGCCACTGCGTTGCCATGGCGCGAAAAACAGATGGAGGGCAGGAAGTGATTTTCTACATTAGGAAGCACTACAACAAACTCAAAATGCCTATGTTTTACGTCGTTTATGGTTGTTCAAATCGATCAAACCACAAGGAGTTTTTATCGTGTGCCCAAAGTTGTTCATAAGGGGGGAAAATACAAGAAATTGATAGAAAAACACAGAGAAAAATGCCTTGCAAACCTACGTCTGCGGTCGGGGGGAGCCGAATGGGAAAATGCCTGTGTGTGTGCAGTGATCACTTCTTCAAATGTGAGTTAATACATTATTTATGTGGCTTATAATTACATCATTCAGGTGATTAAATACACTTATGTGGCTGTTTGTGTAACGTACCAGTTTCCGAACTTTGTAAAGTCAAAGTATGTCTGTAAGACGAGTTAGTTGCTGATATCTACAGCCTCCATGGCAGGCAAATCTCTCGATTCAGTTGAAAATCGCTCCTCTTCATAACGTAAGGATCACGTCCAACATATGTTTTGATTTTCTGTTTATATATTTCTCTTGTAATAGCGTCTAAAGTAGTACAGTACGGATTTTCCTCCATCTCGTCCATTGCGCTCTTCACTCCTTGCCCTCCATCTGCATTCCGTGCGTCAACACAATCACGTGACTGCAAACCACCTATTGACGACAGCCATTGACTTACAAAGTATTTTATCCTGCTATGGAAGTCAATGGATGACATCAGCTTTCGAGTTGAAAGAAACTCATACAGGTTTGGAATAACTTGAGGATGTGTTAGTAATGACAAAATGTAAAATTTTGAGTGAACTATTCCTTTAATCTGACAGACTTTGATCATACTTTTGTACAGTGTTCACCGGCTTTGAGACCAACAACCAGTATGAGATCAAGAACAGCCTCGGTCAAGAGATCTTCCACGCCAAAGAAAAAAGTGACTGCTTCATACGCAATTTCTTTGGTCCGGCACGCAATTTTCAAATGCAAATTAGAGACAACGAGGGCCAAGAGGTCATACGGATGAACAGACCAATGCGCTGCTTCCTGCAAGAGGTATACTTTATCATTCTCTTCAAGGGTTATGCAACAGCTAATTAAAATGTCTTAATAGTGATATTGAAAGGAGCTCCAACATAAAAGGCTTTATAAAAGACCACAACAACAAATCAACGAGGATGCCATTGGCACCAAAAGTGACATAAAGCAGAATCAGTGAAACTTTTTTGTGTGTGTGTGACAATTTACAGAATCGTTGAGTATAGTTGAGTTTTTAACAAGAGTTACTGCTTTGTGAAGGCATGTTTTAGTACATAAACTACAACAAGAAATGCAAGTCACAAACTTATGCATCACAATTCCCGGTTCATTTGAGAATTTGGTATCGGCTTTAAGTGATTCAACGACGGTCTGTTTCAAACCAATTCTATAATGTAACCACCTGTAACTGTCGGTGCCTCAAATAACTTTGTGTCTACTTATTGCACACATACTTTACTTTCTTATTTATTACTTGATGTGAATTTTCCACCCTCAGATTGAGGTACAGGCTCCCCTTGGAGTTACCATAGGCTATGTGAAACAGGAGTGGTCCTGCTTTTTACCAAAATTCTCCATCCTGGGCCTCAACAATGAGGTACTACTGAAAATCCACGGGCCCTTTCTTCCTCTCAAATGCTGTGGTGACATCAACTTTGAGGTAACCTTTATTTCAGGCAATGCTACTGCTAGAATACTTTTTTTTTTGACTCAAACATGTTAAGGTGTTTTGCTTTTTGCGTACCAATGCGTGTTTTACACAAGGTCTGTCTTTAGGTAAAAGGCATGAATGGTGGGAAGTCAATTGGTCGAATCATAAAACAACGAAGTGGTTTCTTAAAGAAATGCTTCACTGATGCCAGCAACTTTTGTATCGAATTCCCCCTGGACATGGATGTTAAAATGAAGACTATATTATTGGGTGCTTGCTTCCTTATTGTGAGTATTAAGTCGAGGATTTCACTGGACATCTAGCTGTGTATGAAGACTTCAGATGCAAAAGCCTCTAAGTGCCATCTGAAATTTACTTCTAAAATGAGCATTTTTTATCAAGCTTGTATAGGTGAGACACTATATGTGAATAGGGTAATTTTTTAATTAGCGGATATCACCATGAAACTTTCCCAGTTGATTACCTACATTAAGATGAGAAAAAAAATGTATTATAAGTTTTCTCTAATTGAATGTTTGAATATGCAAATTAGGCATTATCTAATTAAATATGCGCTAATTTGGATAGGGCCAGGCCTAATCTGAGCCAGGTTCAAAATACGTTTTTCATTGTGTTTACATATTAGATGGGGAAAAAATTACAGAGGGATTTTTTTGTAATAAAATGTTATATAAATCAGTCTAGGAATAATATATTTACAAATCCCTCTGTAAATGTCTTCATAACATAACTAGGTACAAGACCTAGGTTCTGAAGTCTCATCAGCCAATGAGATCGCGCGTTTAGAGACGAATCCGACAACTACTTTCACGATTGGTTGCTGATAAAAAGGAAATGACCATATTTGGATCCGACAGCATTGTACATGCAGGAGAGAGAGAGCTTTTTAACTGTGTATGCACTGTGGTCCGAAAGAAGACATGTTATTGAAGACAAATATCCCAACATCTAAAAACAAAACTGCAAAAAAAAAAGAAAAAAAGAAAGAAAAAGAAACTATGTTTTTCCCTGCCCTCACCGTGTCTCGACTTAAAGGGTTAGTGTTAGTTCACCCAAAAATGAAAATTAAGTCATTAATTACTCACCCCATGCTGTTCCAACCCCGTAAGACCTTCGTTCATCTTCGGAACACAAATAAAGATATTTTTTTATTTAATCTGAGAGCTAGATCAGTTCTACATAGAATGCCTAAGGGACTGGCTCTTGACGGCCCATAAAGTCATTAAAGAAAAGGTTTAAATATTCCATGTGCCTACAGCGGCTCAATTATAAGTTTATCAAGCGACGAGACTACTTTTTGTGCGAAAAAAACATAAATAACGGCTTTATTCCACTATTCTATTACTTCCTTATTGGCGCATGCGCGAGAACTGAGACGAGGACGTTCTTCTCCTTCGACTACTTTTTGTTACCGGCTGCTCCGCTTAGGAGTATTACCGCCCCCTACCGTATAAGATGATGTGCTGATATAGCTGGAAGTGCAAAACGTTCTGTTTACAAGCAGAGGAAGATGCGCGCTGTACATACGCTTTTCAATCAGCGTATTTTCCGCACTATAAGGTGCACTTAAAAGCCTTTAATCTTCTCAAAAAACGACAGTGTTCCTTATAATCCGGAGCGCCTTATATATGGATCATCATCTTATACGGTAGGTGGCGGTAAAACTCCTAAGCGGTGAGCAGCCGGTAACAAAAAGTAGTCGAAGGAGAAGAACGTCCTCGTCTCAGTTCTCGCGCATGCGCCCATAAGGAAGTAATAGAATAGTCGAATTAAGTCGTTATTTATGGTTTTTTTTTCGCACAAAAGTAGTCTCGTCGCTTGATAAACTTATAATTGAGCCGCTGTAGGCTCTTTTATTTAAACCTTTTCTTTAATGACTTTATGGGCCATCAAGAGCCAGTCCCTTTGGCATTCTATGTAGGACTGATCCAGCTCTCAAATTCAATCAAAAATATCTTTATTTGTGTTCCGAAGATGAACGAAGGTCTTACGGGGTTGGTACAGCATGGGGGTGAGTAATTAATGACTTAATTTTCATTTTTGGGTGAACTAACCCTTTAAGTTCTTGTCACTTTAATGACAATTAATAGGTAATTGTCATTGCCATTAAAGTGAACTGAACATAAACTTACAAGCTTGATAAAAATGATCATTCTAGAAGAAAATTTCAGATGGAACTTAGAGGCTTTTGCATCTGAAGTCTTCATATTGTATGCTAGAGAAGTTCATGTCAGATCTGTCATTTTAAACTTTATTGGAAATTAATTGTGTTAATATATATTGGGCCTGATTTAATAACAGTTTGCGCTAGGACAACAAACCCTCTTTTGGCATTAAACAGTCAGGATTTATTAAAGACATTTTTTTTTTAAATGTAGATGAAAAGGTGTGGACACAGTTATTTTTGTGGCTGACCTCATTGCATATTATGCACTTTGTTGGAGTTCCATTTTAGATGCAAAATTTATGAGAGGAGAATATTTAAATATTTAAATCTGGTAAAAGGCATGTCTTGATCTATTTTGCATTTATTAAATCTGGCCCGTATTATAGTAGTGATTTCTGTTTGGACTAATCTCGTTCATTATCTTTCTTTCTTCCTCCTCACAGGACATCATGTTCTTTGACAAAGGTGGAAATTTATTTTTAAAAATGTTAAAAGGATCATGAAATGCTTTTTTCCTATTTATAATCATTTCCTTGAGGGTTTTGTTATTGAGTTCTTTTCTTTTCTTTTTTTGACTGAAAAGCACAGTTTGAGGGCACTTGCCCTATAAGACTAAACACCCAACTTTCTTGATTGTATTGTTTTTGTTTGATTTTTTCATAGAAAATAATATATGCTTAAAGGGATACTCAACCCCAAAATGAAAATTCTGTTATCATTTACTCAACCTCAAGTTGTTGCAAACCTGTGTGAGTTTCTTTCTTCTGCTGAACACAAAGGAAGATATTTTGAAGAACGATTGGAACCAAACAGTTGTTTGGCACCTTTGACTAAGTTATAGTAGATTTTTTTTTTTTAACTTCAAATGTTGTGGCTTTAAAAATATTTGCACTAATCTCATCTGTGTTCAAATGTAAGCATTCTTCGAAATGTACACTAACTTTAAAGGTATGGGGTCAGTAATTATTTTTTTAAAAGACATTAAAGGGACATTGTGTAGGAATTGCTGCCATCATTGTGCCTCACTTTTATAAATGTGCGTTGCATCTGTGTTAACTAACCACTATACACTAACGTTCAAATGTTTGGGGTCGATAAGATTTTCTTTATCAAAAATATAGTTGAAGCAGTAGTTTAGTATTATAGTATTTTTTAATAAACAATATTGTGAAATATAATTACAATTTAAAATAACTTTTTTCAATTCCATTATATATATAAAAAAGAAATTTATTAAAGTGATGTCAAAACTGAATTTTCAGCATCATTACTCCAGTCTTCAGTGTCAAATGATCCTTCAGAAATCATTCTAATATTCTGTTTGGTGCTAAAAAAATTACTTAATATGACTTAACACTTAATATATTTTTTGGGAAACTGTTTTTTTTTTATGAATCGGCATTTAGGTCTATTTGAAATAGAAATTCACTATTTTCATACTATTTTCAGAGAAGATAAAGTGAAATGCAGTCATATAGCAATAGCATAACAGCATGCTACTCAAGATAATGACTCACTAAAGATTATTTCATTCAGTTTATTTATCACATTATAAAGGTTGAGCAAATTGCAGACTGCTACATCACCTAAAGAAATCCAATGTTGGCTGGGCATCTTGTCTGCTAAAAATGTCTCGGCTTTGGGCAAGTTTAGGAGACATGAAGCTTTCCTTGCGGTATATGGTGCCACTATGCTTACAGAATATATATGGACCGTATGGAAGTAGCTAGGCCTACATTTATAACTCTTTGAAAGACATTTGTGATATTATGACACATTGTGGTTGTTCTGGGTACAGCAACTCTTCTTTTCAGCCCCGCACTTCCCATTCAAGTATTGATGAAAAATTAATAGGACTTTTATTTGTTTATGAACATTCTTGTACCATATGAGGTCTTGTTTTAATGTCACAATACAAGCACAGTTTTAAAATGCTTTACAATTGCAGAAACAATAACGTATTGTTAGTTTTCTTTCAGCATTTTATGGCACACTTTGTTCTTGTGATAAATATAGGCTAACATGGTACGTGGAAACACTGGTGAAAAATCGAGTCATCTCTTTATGGAAAATACAAAGCATTTTATTTTCCATAACCTTGTAGGTTTTAATTTCTAATAATTGTATGAAAATCTGCAAAAAAGTTTTACTTTATTAAACATATACAAATATTTCTAACATTCCATAAATCATATACATTTACACTGTTATACTGAATTTATCACATAAACATTTAACAAACTATTTTGAATACAAAAAAAATTTAAATTAAAAATAAGCAGTCACAATGGCAACTGGAATGGCATCTGTTAAAAAACGTTGTGCATTTAATACAAACAATTATGCTGTCTTTCCAAACAGATGTAAAATAACAACTGATATCATTAGTTTATCCATCAAGCAATAATACAATCACTATAGATAGTTTCACGCAATAATACAGTCACTATAGATAGTTTCACATTGGCGATGAATGAAAACTTAAATGAAAACAGTTTTTGTGTGACCTCTTGCCAATTTCGTGATTTCACAATAAACTTTAAATTCACAATAATCTTAATGCTTGACATTGTCTTGCTTTAAATTCTTTCTCCTCGTCTATCCAGTGCAGTTCTTTATTTGTCTTTAACCAGACGGAAGACGTAACGGCTTGCTACATGCAGGTCCCAGTTGTAGCGGGCAAGGATTTTTTTACATTCGTCACGAGAGCACTGATTCATGTGATAGAGCTGGTCTGTCTGATGATGCAAGGAAAACCCAAAAGAATGACAGTGAATGACATAGAGAATCAAAGTAATGTATGCAATGTATGAAATCATTTACTTTGAACAAGTGTTAATTCTCTATTACTTTAAGCTGTTGTTCTGCCCGTTCAGGATTCCAGTCATTGCGATACAGAGCTCTATGAGCCTCCTCAATGGTCACTCCATGCACTGCCTCCTGAACCTGATGACAAAAGAGCATTGTATTACACAAAAAAGTTTTATATATATCTCATAAAAACTCATCCATAAGTAATATATATATAAAAAAAAAAAAAAAAAAAAAATTTTCATATAAGTATTGTTTTCCCATTCATTAACTGTCCTCGTGTTGTCCTCATGTTCTACAGCGAAATTATATTTATTTTAACCTTACGGACCACAAACTTTTGAATGGTAATCTCTGAATACATATAAACATATTATATTTAATAAATATATGTGTAAGTTCTTTGTTAAATTTTATATAAATAGTACTGAAATCACATTTATAATATATAAAAATTGTTGAACATGAAGAAATCTGCATTACCTGTGCTATGACTGCTTCCTTGTTAACTTGTGGTGGATACCTCTCCCTTCCCTTCTCCCGCTCTCTTTCTTTCTCTTTCTCTTGCTCTTTCTCTCTATCCTTCTCTTTCTCAAAGCCATCATCTAACTGAGGGCTTGACTTGGCCAGATGTGCCATCCTTAAGAGGTTGTTAGTCCCTAAACATTGCTGCTGTGGTTGGAATTGCAACTGTGTCTGTGGATGAGTTTGAGGGGTCAAGCCAGCTGGGTTTGCCGTTCTCCGATCATGGAACATCATCTGGGTTTTGAAGCTGGTGGTTGGTGGGCTGATGCATTTGATGCTGGGGGGTGGTGGGCGTGGAGGTGGGATGACAACAGCATCACTAAACCTGCGGGGATCTTTTATCAAATTACTCTGCATGAGTCTGCGTGGGTCGGGTCTCTGAGCTCCATTCCCACCAGCACCTTGACCTTTGCCCTGTGAAACATCAAGGATGGACTCCAAGCTCATCGATATGCCTGAAGATTGAGAGTAAGACACAGAATGGGATTGGATACACAAAATTTGAGGGTTAGTAAGATTGTTTTAATGCTTTTGTCTCTTATACTCAGCACGGCTGCATTTATTTTATCAAAAATACTGTAATGTTGTTATTACTATTTGAATATATTTTAATTAGGGCTGTCAAATGATTAATCGCGATTAATCGCATCCAAAATAAAAGTTTGTGTTTACATAATATATGTGGGTGCACTGTGTATAATTATTTTGTATATATTTAAATACACACACATGCATGTATATTTACAGTATATACAAGCATGTGTGTGTGTTTATATATATATATAATAATTATACATAGTGCACCCACATATATTATGTACACACAAACTTTTATTTTGGATGCGATTAATCGTTTGACAGCCCTATTTTTAATGTAATTTATTCCTGTGATGACAAAGCTGAATTTTCAGCATCATTACTCCAGTCTTCAGTTTCACATGATCCTTCAGAAATCTTTCTAATATGACGATTTGGTGCTCAAGAAACCTTTCTTACTATCATTAATGTTGAAAACAGTTGTTCTGCTTAATATTTTAGTGTAAATCATCATACATGTTTTGCTAAATTAATTGATAAATAGAATTTTTTTGATAACAATGTGAAAGTCTTTACTGTCACTTTTTGATCAATTGAATTGATTTCTTTCAAAAATCTTGTTAACCCATAATTTTTGAATGTTAGTGTATGTGTACAAGACAATAGCCTATTTTGTAGTACGTTCAGGCCTTCAATAATACTCGGTGTATTTTAAGTTCTAACCTGACATTTTCTTCAGATTTGAGCCTGCCTTCTCTCTTGCCATTGGAATCCTCCAACGTCTGGAGCTGAAAAGTTCACATTGAATGGCAAAAGTCACTTAAACAGTCCCATTAGAGTGACATTCAGCTCTTTACAACTTCATTTAAAATGTCACTCACTCATCTGTTCGTTCTGGGGTTGCCCAGCTGCGTGTCGGAGTCGGACCAGACGCAGGAGCTGCTGCTGTGAGAGCATGGGCAGCAAACATAGAGGGGAACCAACCAACACTTAGAGTTCTCTGGTTTTGCCCCTTCCACTCACAAATTTCCAGCCTATGAGGAAACAGAAGAGAATAGCATAGTCAGTTATATAGCATCAAAGATGACTTCCACAAAGCCCTATTTAGGTTTTCTACTTTTAATTTACAAATACATTTTGCACCTTCCCTTTTCCGTCAAGTCTTGGCCTGCTTTAAATCAATCTGCTAATGCATATGCATATTATTTCAATAGTATCAAACGTCACTAATATATACTGTTTCTAAAGCTGTTTAAAGTCATTGGTACCTATTGGTTCTGCTGTAATTGTTAAATTATAAGGAATTTGTTCTGTCAGATTCAACATTTGTTGAATTTTTGTACTGTCCAAGTGTGGTTTTCAAGAGAGTCAGAAAAGGGTTGAACTGTAAATGGAATGCTACTAATTCAAAGGGAGGGGAGACAGGTTAATAATTACCCACAATGACCTTTATCAGAGTCAACTAAGATTTATTGGCATGACTATTAACAATACTGCCAAAGAGCATAAGGTAAAGGAAATAGACAATAGAAAATAAACGATAGACAATATCAAAAATAAACAAAAAGAAGGGGGCATATAAAGGAACGAAAGAAAAATACATTAAAATATTGTTTGCCAATGGGCTCTCTTACCCATGGTCTATTACAGTCACTAGATCATTCGCCTGTAGACAGAGTTTTCTGGGATCTATAAGATCTTTCACGGCTCGAACCTCCATTGGCTGCGCCTGAAAATACATTAGACAGAGAGAATTTAGAGTAAGAATACGAATAGCACAAGTGGTGCTGTTCAAAAGATTGGGGTTGGTAAGATTATAAACTTTTGAACAGTAGTG